TCTGTGATCACGCCCCAATATCTTAGATATTTCAAGAGTGCTGCATCCCTGTGAAAGACTTTTTACAATTTTTGACTTTTCAGAGTCAGTTAAATCTCTTTTTTGGCCCATTTTTCCAGAGGAGAACATTCTGCCTAATAATTATGCACACCTTGATATAGGGTGTTGATCTCCTTAGGCCACACCCTCCCTCGTTACACTAAAACACATCACCTGATATGCATTAAGTCCAATAAGCGTTCAAGTTTATACTGCTTGGATTTGGAAATTATGGATAAAATGATGATATGGTCAAAATACTCACTTGCCTAATAATTGTGCACACAGTGTATTAGCTGAAATTCTCTGTCACTTTCCCTGGCTGATTTGATCTCTTTAATTTCTTTATTTTATTATTTGACCTTTGCCCAGTAATCCAGAAACTGTAGGTCACTCAGGCTCAAAGTACTGTATCTACTGCAAGTGACAGAAAAGTGCATCAAAATTTACCAATGACTGGTGAATCGCCCTGGCATAATTAATTTGTTGCTTAAACTAAAACAAAGAAACTGTTTGAATCAAGTAAAGTATCATAGTGTGCAGGATTATATTGTATTTTTTCTCTCTCGTCAGTATTTACTGCACTACCTGTTGTCTGTGAAGTCGCTGGTGAACCGCCATGCCTGGTCTCGAACCCCCATTGCTGAGACTTCCTGGGCATTGCTTAGAGACTGTTACCATGGAGCCATGTGCATCCGCCACACACCCCAGCACATCGCCATAGCAATGCTGTACCTGGCTCTAAACAGCTATGGAGTGGAGCTGCCCGTCGGGGACAAAGAGTGGTGGCAGGTGTGTGTTCTCTGCAGAGTGCTAATAATCACAGGCTGAAGAGAGAGAATTAAGTAAACATGCATGTGAACAAGCCAGGTGGCAGCTGCCACGGCAGGAGGTTGAAGTCAGTGTGAGACTATCCTAAAGGTTAATGCCACTGATTGCTGCTAGATGCTCATTCTAAAAATCCTGGCTGTGATTGACTGCCATTCAAGAGTCTCTCTAGAACAAAGTCATTCATTCTTCCAGGAGACAGTATGGTCTCAGTCTGTTAATTCCAGCCTTCTAATATGTATTCTGGTGGTAGGTTTGGAACAATAACTGGTCCATTCATAATATTTAAAGGATATAGAAAGCGTTGATGTACACTGATCAGCCTTAACATTATGACCACCTGCCCAATACTGTGCACATAGGAGTTAATGTGGCAGTTGGTTGGCACTCAAGTCACTCTGAGACTCACAGTGCAGCTTGTCTTAATCAGTTGGCTTCTATAGTTGTACTGTCAGAAAGAGCACAGATTTCTCTATTATTTAGTGTTAAAAATATGTAAAAGGAGTGAAAATTGGTCGTGAGGACAAGTTAGCGATATGTTTTTGGTGTTACAGGCATGTATTGGTGAGTTTTATGGAGATGGATAAAACCAGGTTATGATGCTTTAAGGATGTTTAGATGCTCTTTTGTCTTAGAACATGGGAAGTAAACCCTGGGAACATGCTGCATTTTTTTCCAGAAAGACTAATAAAAGATGATGAATGAGAAATTGCACATAGCTGTAGGAACTAGTGCAGCAGAGGCTACCCCAGAGGTGACACTGTGACTTCGGCTCAGTGTCATTCTTGTTTTTACAGCTTGTCTATTGCCCTCAAGTGACCACAGAATCATTTAATGCAGGCTTTATTGATTGGCCTTTCTTAATGCTTGCATGTGCAGACAGCATCGCTGTTAAAGCCTAAAACTACTTTGTAACTTAACCCTAGTGGTATCTGGCTATGCAGAGAATTCAGAGTGTATTTGCCAGCTTATAAAGGCACAGCAATAGTGTGTCTTTCCAGAAACAGTGTCGCTGTGACTCTGGACGATGAACAGTCCTCACTGTCACAGTTTTCACTCTGAGATGCAGAATGTGTCATTGTTGGGTTCCTTTCTCACATTTAGTGGAATTTAAAGCATGTGCAGTGTTGAGATCATCCTTAAGGGTACGTTTACAGTATGACTGACACAAACAGTAGTTCGGTCCTCTGCTTTTTGGCTCATGCCAGCAGCAACCCTGCAGCTTCGTACCATTGTGCCCTTTAACTGTCCAGCTCCGGCCAGTCTTCAGAACAGAAGAGTCAAGAATTATTTTAATAGTTACAGTTACAGTTTTCCACTGTCAAACATTTTTTTTGTCATAAGTCACTATATCCAAATGCAGATGACAAAAATGATTTATTGTTTTCTGCTTCACTTCTCAAGGCAATAAAGTCTAGGTCATTTGAAGTGGTGTGTGGATCTTTGATGTCCACTGTTTATCGAGGCCAGGCATGGAGCTGAAGTGTGTGTGTGTGTGTGTGTGTGTGTGTGTGTAGGTGCTGTGTGAGCACGTGACCAAAGCAGACATCGATGCTGTGATCTCAGACCTTCTTCAGCTCTACGACATGGAGGCCAAGTGTATCTGAAGGACACGCCCACAGACCTCCTCATGGGAGACACAGGAGAGTTGTTTTGTCTGTGTATGTTTACTTGTGCTTGTTTCTGTGGGGCATGAATTTGTGTACCTGCACAGCCGTTATTCCCTGCATGTAAATGTTGGGGTTCAGGTGCACCTATGTACTTGCATCCCCGTGTGTGTGTGTATAAGAAAGAGAGAGAGCACTTTGTACTGGCCCAGTCAGGCTGTGAGCTGTGACAGAAACACACCTGCATTACTGCTTCCAGTCAGCATGGGGAGACATTTCTTGCTTTTTGGTCTCAGCCCTGGGATATGTCATCAGCACCAAGTTTCTCAGAAACACCTCAGCCATCAGCAGCAGTAATCTTCATCACAGTACACACATAACAGGCTTGAACAACAGATACCGCTGTATGGATTCGATGGGGGAAATCTAAAGTTTACCACACAGGTGTTATAAATAATTCAATCAGTGATTCCAAGGAATCAATGAAGATACATGCTGATGTCAATTAGATATTTATTATTAAATGGTATTATCCTAACATGCATCTGCATCAGGATAACACTAGACTACTGCTAAATATATAGTTGAGGATAAGGCTTAATTGTCTAATTAGAATCCAGTGCAACTTGCTGCATAAAATCTACACATTAACAAGGAAAATGGGATGTTCTGTGCAGGATCTCAGTACTTATCCTTAATCTTTAAGATGCATGAAATAACTTATCTTAACATTGCATGTTATTATGTAAAAGGTACAGTAACTAGTGAATACATCTGCTTAAAAACCTCTACACATCAGAAGTGATAGATGAAGCCTTTCCCTGCGTTGTGTTGTCACTTCCAGAGATATTTTCATGAATGAGAATATGTGGGCCAGGATCTTTTGTATGCTTTAGACTTCTGTTTCTGCTGTTAAAATTACATAGATTTAATTTGGACTGTTGTGTTGTTCAAAGTGAGCTCTGCAGATGCTAACCTGTCTGTCCTGTTTCAGTGATGTGTCCGGTGGTATTCACAATGTTGTTTGCCCCAGTGGATCCCATGACAAGACCAAAACCAACAACACGTTGACAGTACTTATTACTTACTTATTGTGTGTGTGTGTGTGTGTGTGTGTGTGTGTGTGTGTGTCAAAGCCTGTTGTATCTTATTCCTCTGAGCCATAGAGTTGCTGTGTTGTCTTAAAACTTTTTAAAGCATATGACTGAGCCAGGGCGGCACGGTGACACAGAGTTTAGTGCTGTCGCCTCATAGCAAGACGGTTCTGGGTTTGTACACAGGCTGACCTGGGGCCTTTCTGTGTGACGTCTGCATGTGCATCTCCCTGTGCCTGCGTGGGTCCTCTCTAGGTACTCCAGCTTCCTCCCACAGTCCAAAGACATGCAGCTTAGGTTGATTGGTGACTCTAAATTGCCTGTAGGAGTGATTGTGATTGTGTGTGGTTGTTTGTCTACGTGACAGCCCTGTGATAGACTGGCGACTTGTCCAGGGTGGACCCCTCCTCTCACCCAATGTCAGCTGGGATTGGCTCCAGGCCTCGCCTTTTTAAAAACTGAAACTATATATTAGTATATCATTTTAAAAGACTTCCAGTGGGTCTCAGGGCTGAATGACAGACTGGAAAATTCTGAAGGTACTTTGTTGGTAAATATTTCACAAAGTCACAAATAAGATCTTTTGCTGCTAAAACACAATGTTACTCAGTAGCTAATCCTTCTCTCTTCTTTAGGCAAAAAGGAAGGCCGTTTGTTTGTTGTAATCACCAAATATTCTTTACACATTATTTATCACAAAGTCCAGTAGGACAAGCTTGGACTAATGATATTAGAAGAAATAATAAAAGCAAAGGTGAAACATTTGTTTACAGTCAAGTTTTTACAGCTGTTGTTTAAATATAAAGTGGCTAATTCTGTATCAGGTTTCATGAGGTCACTGCAGATGTCCTAGAGCAGCACAGTAACTAAGAGCAGAGGGATACCATAGGGTTGTTCATGAGCATGCACCGATAAAGCTGTAGTGTTGACTGTGATCTTCCTTTGTGTCGAAGGGTATGTTTACTTGGTCCTGTTGTATCAAACTCAGTAAGTGGGATGATAAATACACATTACAAATGCTGTGAGTTGGAAATACCCACTGAACCATTAACCTGTGGTTAAATGGTCTTTTGAGTTTGCTGCATATTAAAATATAACATTTGAAAACAAAGCAGTATCCAAGGAGTTTGAACAGATGTGAGGATCTTTCATGGTCTTGAAAACTAGTCCCACAGAGGATTTTTTTTTTTAATACACAAACTTGTCTGTGTTTCTTTTTTTTATGTGAGTAATGATGTTGAGGTCAGAAGTTTACATCCACCTTAGCCAAATACATTTAAACTAAGCTTTTCATGACTCCTGGCATTTAATCCTATAAACACTCTGTCTTAGCTCAGTTAGCATCACTACTTTATTTTAAGAATGTGAAATGTCAGAATAATAGTAGATAAAAAGATTTATTTCAGCTTGTATTTCTTTCGTAACATTCCCAGTGGGTCAGACATTTACATACACTCGGTGAGTATTTGGTAGCCTTGCCTTTAAATGTGTTAACTGGTCAAACATTTCAGGATGCCTTCCACAAGCTTTTCACAGTACGTTGCTGGAGTTTTAGCTCATTCCTCCTGACAGAACTGGTGGAACTGTCAGGTTTGGAGGCCTCCTTGCTTACACACACTCTTAAAATTTTTGTATGTATGGAGGTCAGGGCTTTGTCACAGCCACTCCAGTACTTGGACTTTGTTGTCCTTAAACCATTTTGCTACAACATTGGAAGTCTGCTTGGGGTCATTGTCCATTCGGAGCCAATCTTTAACTTCCTGGCTGATGTCTTGAGTTGCTGCTCCAATATGTCCACATCATCTTCCTTCCTCATGATGTCATCTATTTTGCGAAATGCCACAGCCCTCCTGCAGCACAGCACCCCATAACATGATGCTGTTGAGGTAGATGCACCTCCTGTTGACTCAGATGATGTCAAATAGCCAATCAGAAGCTTCTAAAGCCATGACATCATTTTCTGGAATTTTCCAAGCTGTTTAAAGGCACAGTCAACTGGGTGTATGTAAACGTTTGACCCACTGGAATTGTGATACAATGAATTATCAGTGAAATACAGTATCAAATCAAATTTTATTTGTATAGTGTCAAATCATAACAAAAGTCATCTCAGGACACTTTACAAAGTAAGGTCTAGACCTTACTGTTATCAATATTATTACATAGGGTAAACCCAACAAATCCCCTTGAGCAAGCACTTGGCGACAGTGGGGAGGAAAAACTCCCTTTAACGGAAGAAACCTCCAACAGACCCTGACTCTTGGTGGGCGGCCTTCTGCCTCAACCGGTTGGGGTGAGTGGATAGAGGAGAGAAAAGAAAAGTAACAAGGCACAAGAAATACAACAACAAACAATCAAACACTGGTCAGGTTGATGTGGCCGGTGACTGCTCATCAGAAACATAGAGCTCCAGAGCCAGGGCTACCTGCAGAAAGGTACAGGGAGAGAGAGAGGACACACTACGGGAGAGAGGAGACACAAAGTTAGTAATGTGTAATGGTGGCATATAGAAGCATAGGGAGAGAGCCTGCACTCTGAGAGCAAAGTGCTCTGCTCGGATGATAAGGCTCTACGAGGTCTTTAAGATACGATGGAGCCTTGTCATTAAGGGCTTTGTATGTTAGGAGAAGGTTTTTAAATTCTATTCTGAATTTTACAGGGAGCCAGTGGAGAGAAGCTAATATGGGAGAGATATGATCTCTCTTGCTCGTTCCTGTCAGTCCTCTGGCTGCAGCATTTTGGATTAACTGGAGGCTTTTTAGGGAATTATTGGGACATCCTGATAGTAAAGAGTTACAGTAGTCCAGCCTGGAAGTAACAAATGCATGGACCAGTTTTTCAGCATCACTTTGGGACAGGATGCTCCTGATTTTTGCAATATTGCGCAGGTGAAAGAAGGCAGATCTAGAGACTTGGATTTTGTGTGATTTAAAGGACATATTCTGATCAAAGATGACTCCAAGGTTCCTCACAGTAGTACTGGAGGCAAGAGCTATGTCATCTAAAGTAACTATATGATTAGACAGCAGATTTCTAAGGTTTTCAGGCCCAAGCACAATAACTTCAGTTTTGTCAGAGTTTAGAAGTAAGAAGGTGCAGGTCATGCAGGCCTTTATGTCTTTAAGACATGCTTGAAGTTTGACCAGCTGACCTGATTCATTTGGCTTCATAGATAAATATAACTGAGTATCATCTGCATAGCAATGGAAATTTATGTTGTGCTTCCTGATAATATTGGCTAAAGGGAGCATGTATAAAGTGAAGAGAATTGGACCTAACACAGAGCCCTGTGGAACACCGTGACTAACTTCAGTTTGTGTAGAACATTCGTCATTAACATGAACAAATTGAAATCTTTCTGATAAATAAGATTTGAACCAACTTAGTGCAGTTCCTTTAATCCCAATAACATGTTCTGTAAACAACAGTTGGAAAAATTACTTGTCATGCATAAAGTACATGTCCTCACCGACTTGCCAAAATGAGAGTTTGTGAACATGACATCTGTGGGGTGGTAAAAAAAAAAAATCAGTTTTAATAACATCAATTTAAATGTATGTAAACTTCTGAAATCAACTGTAAATATACAGTACATATATATACTCTGTGTACATTATGTATGCTTTTTCTTATGGTCAATCTGTGTGCACCTTACATAGATACAAAACAAATACACTGGTCAAAAACACAGTGGTGGTATTGCTGTTTTCTGAGATTATAGTGTGGACGCCCAGACAGCCCAGAGGTACTGGCTCTGTGACACCACTGGCCCGAGTGGAGCGTAAAAAACAAATGAGTCTTAGGGTGACTTGAACACTTTGCCCTGATTTTCTTAATGATGAGAATGTTTATGGGACTGTGAAGAAACCAAGATATAACCCTACCAGCTACATAAAAACTAACAGCTGTTTGACTTTATTTCATCTGTCTGCTCAGATACTGCAAATACTGTTAAATGTTGCTTTAATTTATTTTGCTTTACTGTACAAAGCTTCTCACACTGGGTGTCTTTAGGAGAAGCGCTGTGGTTTACTTACCTTTTTGTATTTATCTTATATAATCGGGTCCGTCTGTCTCAAATGTGTGTGTGTGTGTGTGTGTGTGTGTGTGTGTGTGTGTGAGAGAGAGAGACCAGAATAAAGAAGTCACATAATCAACACTGACACGTCTGAGTTTCTCTCTCTGTCTTTTCTTTTCTCTCTTCTTGCTCTCCTTATGTATTCTGCTTCTCTTCATGAGACAAGAGACATACAGTAGCATGCATCCCAGTAGCATCACATCATATAATATCACTCATCCTGACACAATTTCTCCCTTCTCGTTCGTCACTATCTTCCCAGAAAATCTGGTGGTTTTTCATTTGCTCCTTCCCCATCACATTTCTCGCCTCTCCCAGATTCCTTGTCCTCCTTTCAATCCTTTCCTCCTCACCCTCTTCCCTGTCTTCCTCCATATGTTCCCCTCTCCTGCTCTGTGTCTCCTCCCTTGTCCTTATCTCTCCTCCTCCCTCCCTAATGTTATATTAATAATGGAGAAGGTGCATGTTCAGCCAGACTCCATGAATTAACCATAAGATGGGAAGGAGTACAGAGGGAAGCAGTTGGAGGAGGAGTAAGAGAAAAGTGACTGACATGGACAGAGGAGAGGTGGAAGGGAGCAAGGAGAGGGCAATGAAGGGGTGAGGAGAGAAAGGAGAGGTGAAGACGGGAAGTGAGGGAGAGGAGCTTATCATTGCCTTTGATAGCTCTCCTCTGCGCTGTATAATTCTGATCTGCTTACACATCACTTCAGTCTTTACTGTGGGATTGAGGGGAAGTCAGAAGGTCACACACATGACCAGCTGGTTGTGTACGTCTCCATGTGTGTGTGTGTTAATACTGAAATGTCACTTTGGGATGGTAATGTTACATCAGGTCTGCAGTCTATGAGCTGAGTGCCCTTGAAATGATAAAAGCTCTGCAGCCTTCAGCCTCCGACCTATTATACATCAACTGAGCAACGCTAAATACTCTGAATGCCTAATGCATAGATGGTAGATTTAATAGAGCAAGTCTGTGTGTGTGCATGCTCTAAGTATTGCAGGGTGGAGCAAAAAGAGTGGCCTGCATGATTCATCATCCCAGTAAACAGTGAGATGAAAAGATGGATGGAGTCAGCAGCAGACAGACACCCGTCAAACCATCAGTCAAAAGTCTATCAAGACCTTTCAAGGTGCCCCCTTTCTGACCAGTAGCATTAATACAAACACACACTGTTAGAGTTGACATTGGAAGTGTTAAAACATGGTTTCAAATATCAAGCATTTCCCTTTAACAATAGCTATTATGTGCAGTAAGCCAGCCTCCAAAAGGCTGACAAAGACACCTTTAATTATTACTTATTAAGAGTTTAAAACTCAGTGAGGATGAGTCTATACCAGTGCTAGTGGCTCTTTGAGGCTGCACGTGGTACAGCCGTCCTTTGAGCTAAATGTCAGCATGCTAATATATACGTAGATGTTTTAGAGATATAATGTTCACTTTCTTATTTAAGTGTGTTAGTATACCAACAGCTGCTAATCAATAACAAACATACAGCTGAGGCTGATGGGAGTGCCATCAGTTATGCATGCATTTGATCATGAACTAAAGCATCAAACAGATTTAAAATTGGGAGCTTATGATGGTGCTAGACTAAAAGTTGAGGGATCACCAAAGTGGTTTCCAGTTCATCCTGAAGAGCATGAATGTCTGTATCAAATTAAATGGCAATCCATCAAATAGTTATCAAGGTATTTCCTTCAAAACCACAAATGTCAACGTTGTGGTGGCACTAGAAGAAAAATCTGGGTATCACCAAAATCAGTTCAATTCATCCAATAGCTTTTGAGATACAGTATTACAGTCTACACAAAGCCATTAAGTTAAAACTCAGTCCTGATGAAGCAGATCTGCTTCATCTGTGTGAGTGTGGTTTGATCAGATTTGATTGACCGTAGGCTGTCAACAATCCCACAACTATCACCACAGCTTAATTTAAGTGCTGGTTCCTTTTTCTTCCATGTCCAACCTTCTTCTAACTGAAGCCATTTATAGAAATTGCTCATGTAAAATAAGTAAAGTGGTTCTTACTGTATTTTGGCACAAAACTTGGGAACCCATCACTCATAGAAAGAGGCAACTGGGAAAATATGTTTTTAAGGCCAGAAATGGAAAACAACTGCTAATCCTGGGTTCTAGAAAGCCTGTATTCTTTTAAACAAAAATATTGGTTAACTAAAACCAACTGGAAGTGTTAACAAAATAAATAATTGAAAGCATGTGATAATAGAACATATTTGGACCTCCGCTTTTTTTCAGGCTTTAATGGGTTGTAGATTTAATTTTAAGTAACAAAATACCATTTCTGCACTCAATAGCCCATAAGGTTCTCTAATTCAATGTGTTGCTAATATAACAGTGTTACTTAGCTAATATCAAGTGATTTTTTTAAATTGATGTTGCTGATTGCTATCAATCATTTGAGTGTGAAAGCAGTTTGTGTTAGCCCTGTATTAAACACTAGTTAAAAGTTTTTTAAGGAACCGGGTCCCTTCATCTAGCACAGGATGACTTGGCCATTAATTGGGCAAAACTCCTGTTATTAGAAGATTACATGTATATCCAGATGAGGTGTAGAAAGTAGATGTGTTTTTTGCCTTAAGGAGATGGTGTGTAACAGTTAAAAATAAAATTCACAACAACCCAACAAGATGTGAATGTGTGCCTTCATTGATGGACAAATGTGTGGCCCAGCTCCCTGCAGTGTGGAAGATCTATTAATAAGTTCATCTGATTCATCTATAAATACATTTCTCCTTTTTCTTCTCACACTGGCTCGCTGCATAACAAGCTTTGACAGAAGCCGTGTGTGTGTGTGGGGGGGTCTCATATGTGTGTGTTTTAGTGGGGGCTGCACTGAACATCTTTGGTCTTCAGCACTAGGATGTGCTAGCTGTTAGCACAGTGGTCAGTGTTTTGAGCCTCTGTTTGATTGTACAGACCAGATGGGGGAAGGGTCAACGTTGGGTTTATTGCCCCAGTCTCAGGAGCTGTGGACCAGCCAAATGCTTCCCAAAGTGGGGGACTCAATTCTCCAGTGCTCCTTTTAAAGGGCTCCACTGTGTCCCTATAGGCTAGTAAATGCAATGGGGGTTTTTAACTTTATTTCATAGAGTTTATTGTCAACCAGTTCAGCAATGATGACATTTAGTATGTGGCACTTTGTCCCCTACTGCAGACACAGCACAGCCATATGAACTGCTTTTGCTGCTTCCAGAAATGTAAAACATCTCCTGCGCCCCAGAGGACATTTCCCAGAACCAGACACTGAATGTTTAGAGCAGCAAAGGGAAAAGCTCTCATAAACTGGGTACATGTTGCATCACAAATGTGTGCATCAATCAAGGAAAGGAGCAAAACACACAATTATATAAATGTTGCATGCATGAAAGTGCAATGTGGCTAAGTACATTTACTCATGAACTGAACTCAAGTATGATTTTGAGGTATTGGTACTTAAGAATTTTTATTTTATGCTTTTGTAAAATATTGCATGTTTTAATCCATTGCATGTATTTGACAGATATAGTTATTAGGTACTTTTTAGATGAACATTTTACATAGAAACATATAATAGGCTTATTAATTAGATGAAACCATTTGGGGCCTCTGTTCACGTTTCAAATGTCTGTGTTGCTAGCAGCTCAACCGAAGAGATTTATCATCTCTAAACATATAAAATAGCTGTCAGAGCTCCAAAGATGTAAATGTATCCATTATTTTACAAAACAAACAAACAAACAAACAAAAATTAGAGAACAGTATTAAAAAATGAATAGAACATTGAGTAGTACTTTGGGCCCCATCATGTCAGCACAGAGACTGTATAGCTCCTTTTCCACCGCCTAGTATAGGCTTGGTTTGACTTGACTCACCTTATTTGTTTTTCCATCAGTCAAATGTTGGGGATAGTACTGTACCTGGTACCTGGTACTATTTTTGGAATCACCTCTGTTGAGGTTCCAAGCAAGCAGAGGCGATACCAAATGGTGACATATAAATGCAGACTAGCGATTGGCCAGTGAAAACACACCATCAACGTGTGAGATGTGTGAGAGAACAAAGAAAGCGCAGTTTTTAAAAGCAATGTTATTTAACACTAACCGCTATTTTACTGTAGTTACTGTACTAACTAAAAACAGCCACATATTGAGAATCAAGAACAGCATACCTTTCATGTCCTCCACTGTTACTGTGTTGGTTGCAAATGACATCATGGCAGTGTAATGCAGTGTTGCTATGACAACCAGCTACACTGAGATGGGACTATCTGCAGTGGAAAACCAAGCACCCGGTATCAAAAGAGAGTAGAGTTGTGTCAAGTCGTGCTGAGCCGGTACCAGGCAATGGAAAGGGGGCTTAAGAGTACCGCTCCTGTCAAAGTGAGGTGTGAAGAGAAGAATTATGGCCTCTGATGTCACACTTCTTACTCTAAGTCCCGCCTACTTTTAATACCTCACTTCCATCTAGATCAAAAGCTGGTCAACTTTTATGGAGTATAATTACATACTTCACACAAATTCACATCTACATATTAGAATTTCACATCAAAACATTTTAATATAGGTTTCAACAGCATTAATGGATTTTATTAGGGGTTCCCATGGTGGAATAGGACTGACCAACACCCCCACAGACTAGGCTAATTACATCAAAGGGTTTTGATCAAACAGCTTTAGTAGATGGCAATGTAAAAATGAATAATTTATATTACAGGTAAAAATGAATTTCTACATCTAATTTAGAATCCCCACCTTTAACTAAACAACATACAGCTGTTTAAAATCTAACACATCCCTTTTCTTTTCAGAAACAGTACGTTAATGGGCATGCAGAGTTTAACAAAAGACAAAAACTTACTGGCATGTCCTTCAAAGTAAAACAGATTAAATCCATCAGATAGCATAAAATATATTCCAACAAAATCTGGCAGTGTTTACCAGTGTCTCTTTACCGGGACCTTTAGTGCTACACCTGACATGCATGTAGGTCTCCAGCCAGTCCTACGCTCAGCGGTAGCCCTGAGGACCCCTTGGTGATCATGAGCTCTGTCCCCAGGGTCCTGTGTCTCAATGGTGGCAGGGTCTCGTGCCCCCACCCACTCCTCCTTGGGCCTTTGTGTTTGTAAGACCTCATTGACCTGTGGTGTAAAATTCACAAGCTACTCAGCAGTAATTCAAATGAAATGCATATAAACTAGCTCAAACTAGCTCCCCCTTTACCAGCTGCGACATTAAATGTGATGTACACAATAATGCATCAGTAGTTCAGTAGTTATAATACAACAATATGATATATGGGATGTGAAATGTGCCATTTTGCATAATGAGCACTTTTACTTTTAGTACTTTAAGTATGTTTTGATGCTAATATTTTTGTACTTATACTTAAGTAACATTTAGAATGCAGGACTTTTACTTGTAACAGAATATGTTACACTGTTGTAGTGCTACTTTTACTTAAGTAAAGGATCTGAGTACTTCTTCCACCACAGCATTTACCCATCTTTTCATCAATTTAGTTCCTGTTTGGTGTCCCTCCAGTTACCTTGTGAGTTTTAAAAGCAGATCAAAGCACCACATCTAGTCCCTCTAGTCCGTTGTTCCAGGCATCCAACAAGTGTTTGCTTGATGTGTGCTTTTTATCCCGATACTTTGCTGAATTAGACAAATCTCCATGGTGACTGAGGCAGCAGAAAGCAGGTGAAGGGCCCATGAAGATGCATTAGAATCTTACTGTGTGGAGGGGATACATCTTAGTAGTAAGCTAAACTGTGCATCGAGTCTGTTTCAAGGGTCAACACAGGGCGCACTGGTCCAGTCTGCACTTGTCTTTAGTCCACTGAGCATCTAAATTTGACTGGCATATGCAAGTGAATCACAGGTTAATGACCATGTATATAAAAATTTAAAGGCTCAGTGAAGAAGAAAACTACTTTGAAAGATAAGAAGGTTTTTTTCAGTTCCAGCAACACTTTTGTTTTTGGTAAACATTTAATAATAAGTAAAATACATATTTTACACAACAATAGATCCTGAATAACTCGAGCACAATAAAGCAGATAACATTGAATTACTGTGTCTGGCAGCATTTCTAAAACAGTGATAATGGGCCCTAATCTATTAAAAAACAGAAAGAAAGAAACATGCGCTGCGGTGTGTGTGATGTCCTCACTACGCAGAAGAGAGGTGGGGGTGACGTATAGAGCACCCCTCCCTCACTTGGTTCCTTTCGCGGATGCTGCGACCGAGCTCCTCTGCGCGCGGGCTGTCGAAGCGGCTCGACCCCCTCCTCCTCCTCCCCCAAAGATGTCGCATGAGCTTCTCCTCTCTCCCCTGCGTTTCTTTTCTTTTCTTTTTCTTTCAGAGCTCTTAACAGTTAACCGAATCCGATGAAAACAGCAGTTCTCACCGCTGCGAACAGCTCTCACCAAGGCGCACGGACTAACCCCCTCCCCACTACCGAGGTGTTTATTAAACCGTCAACCCGGCGCATCCTCTCTCTCCCTCTCTGACTCTCTCTCTCTCCTCCACCGCCGCAGAACTCCGCCGACCAACCGTCAGGTGACAGCGCGGAGCGGAATATTCATCAGCACCGTCGTCGTGTTTCATCCCTCCACTCCTTCGGGCTCCAGGCAACCGGAACTACCGCAGCCCCGGTGTCCGCTGTATCCTCTCATCCGGTTTGGGACATTCTCCGTTTCACGCACACACAGATTAACGGGGATTCTGCCTCCCCGCCCGCGCGCTGGTGCTGATGTCCTTGAGCTCGGCCTGCACGGTGAGTCGGTGAGTCCGTGCGTGCACGCGCACATGACTGCTATTTACCCCGGGCGCTCGAGCGCCGTTTTTATTAGGGGAGCAATGTTGCTCGCGCTGATTGATTAAAGCATGTGGGGAGGTTTTAACGGACTTTGAGGACGCAAACCGTGGCCTGATGTGGAATTTCTCATCGCAGGCCTTACACAGCTTTAATAATAGCCCATACAGTAGGACATACCATAATACTCTGGCAAACAGCGTTATGACATTATGAAGGAGTATGCATGTGCACACGTAAATGTGGGAGCGCGTGCGTGTGGGGAGCTACATATCCTATCTGTCCTATGTCAGCTGGTGAGGGGCTGCAGTCCCGCTTTTCGCCGAACAGCATGTTCTTCCGCTTGCCTCTTGGTTTTCCCGGGCGCCCCTGTGTGCCAGGCTATAGGCTATTGAGCATGAACTGCGTTTGTCGCACCTGCAGCGCTGAGCTGCGGGGATGTCGGTTATATCTAGCCCTAATCTCTGGCCGGAGGAACCTGCACTAGAATCCCAGCGCAGGGTGGGGGTGAGGTGGGCAGAGAGGGCCGGCGGTGGCCGCCGGTAACCTTGTAGTGGGACACAGGGAGGCCAGAGGAGTGGCGCATCACAGACTCCACACTCTCCTTGCATGTTTATTAAGCCTACAGTGTAGTCTCTCAGCTTTAGTCAGGGCTTCTGTTGTTGCCATGTATGTGCAGGGGAAGAGGATGAGCAGAGGGATGAAGCTCAGACATGTCTGAAGGTGACCAGCAAAGGTCGTTTTGTGTGGGAAACACACTGTTGCATGGGGACATTCGTCCAGGAGTGCAGTCTTCCTGGCAATTGCCTGCTGAATTAAGCGTGTGTGTGTGTGTGTGTGTGTGGGGGGGGCTCAGTGGAATGGACACTGCTATTGTGTGAGTGTGTATCTGGACAAATGTATGAGATCTAAGAGAGAGAGACATCATTAGAGTGGACATTGATCAGTCTTAACTACGACTTACTTTTCCCCCACACATGCTCCTTTGTCAAACTTTGATCCTCAGCATCACTGACATCATCAAGCTGCTTTACTGTGCTCTACAGTAATGCAGATATTTGCACCCTGTTGGTGGACCATCTTTAATGGCTCCAGCCACTGACTGTGTTGAATTCTAAGTGTGCTTTTCCCACTGGGCATTACAGAAGTGTGTGATTGGCACCAAGCCAGTGACGGCAGCCCAGATACAAGGGCCCTGCCAGAGGTGACCCTTTAGATGCCTGTCAGAAAGTAGAACTGCAGCTGCGCAGGTGTAGGCGGAGAGACCAAATACTGACAAGTGCACACATGTGGCATGCGCTCACCCAGCCTGACAATTATGTGCACAAGCGGTACAGACAGTAACGCACGAGTACACACATACTTGTTCAGTGACATGCTCAGGTTTGTGTGTATGCCTGGACTACCCCATCCAAAACACACATGTACACACTCAGCCATAAAGCATACACAGCTCTGCTGGCCTAGAATCAAATCTCGTGAGGACATTCTCTCATGTGTCTTCCCCCTTCTGTACCCTTCTCCACACTCTTGCTGCTGCGATAAAGAGAAAGCACCCGAAGGTAAAGAGTGGCCACTTTCTTCAGTCAAATTGCTCCGACCTTCTGCAGGATGGTGTGTGGAAAAGCAGGGCTAGCATTCAGAATAAATGGGCAGGCTGCTGACGATTGTGGTAACCTTTTGTCTGACTCTTTTCATGTTCAAACATATTTTCAGCCCGGACAGCACCACGCAGTCTCTCTCTCACTCACTCATTTTGAAAGCACCGTGACACATTTGTGTGTGTGTGTGTCATGACAGTGTCATGTAAGTGATGGCTCCGGGCATGAGTGTTACTTTCTTTGTGTGTTTACTCTACATTGGTGATGCTTTCATCCTGTGGCTAAAGTGGCCTATTGTGTGTGTGCGTGTGTGTGCCTAAGAGCTAGGAATGTCTATCAGCCACTTTGTCAGTTTTAGTAATGCAGGCTTGCAGATGCACACATGTGTAGTGTACCCATCAAAGCTCTGAAACAAACAGAAAGACATAGCCAGAGTGAGCTGTCGTAGTTGGAAGACTGGACAGCAAAGCTTTAGTGTTATAAAATCAGACAGAACCCTTGAGTAAGAGACTGGCTGGGAAGAAAATGCACAACTGGCTGAGTAAATAAATGATTGCAGTAGCGGGAAGCACATATAGAGGGGAGAACAGCAAAATGAGGGAGTCAGAAGAGCAGGAAAAGAGGAAGGTGAAATAATACCAAGCAATGAGACAAGACAAGACATAAAAAACATAGATACAAAAAACAGGTGGAAGAGCTGGCACATAAGAAAAGATGGAGAGTGAGAGGAAGCTTCAAAGGCAGAGCAGGGTGACTCAGTCAAACTGAGGCTGTCAGTCAGGATAGAGGCATGGCAGGGCATAGAGGAACAAGAGAGAAAGAAGATACAAGAAGCAGAGGGAGTTTGCTGTTCCAAAAATAACGGATCACTATATATACTAGTATATTTTGCAGGCTTGATATGTACCGACTCCAGGAAATAGCCATATGTTGCTCGCAGAAGTCCGACACTGACAAAGGCTTTCACATTCTCCTGCCTACTCGCCTTTTATATGATGCCACCCTAACTACCAGCTAAATAAATGAAAGCATTTTTCTTACATTAGTGTTATAAAATTAGACAGAATCCTTGAGTAAGGGACCAGCTAATAATGTTAAAAACACATTCAAGTGCTGTGTGACAAAGTTTAGCTTTAAGCAGTGCAGCAGGAGACACACGTTTTAACTAGTAACTTGCACACATACCAGGTAAAACTAAGAATCGTACTTCCCGGTACTAGTTGAGGGAGAGTGAAGAGTGGAGAGAAGGGAGGAGAAAAGGAGTTAATGATTAGCTTTAGTTCTGTTTTTTCATGCTCATCCTTATGTAAAATACCTTGATAGGGAAACCAGAAGATGTTGTGTTGTGTGTGATGCTATGAATATTTAGTTACAGCCGGAGCTAATTACTCATGTAGGATGAAGCTTCTTCTCAGTCACTGTGGCTGAAGAAAGCACGTTGCTGCTTTGAGTGCTGTCAGATTTATTTTAATTAAATCAGTTCCAGAAATGGATTGAAATGTTAATTCACTGAATATGATATTGTTTTTCACTGAAATTAACAGGAGCAGCTCACTTCAGGAAATGTCCCTCTTTCAGGTCTCACAAGCTTCTTACTAGACCGAACAGAATATGAAATAATTGCACCTTCGAGGCATGTGGATGTGTCCAGGCATGATGTTTTTTGTCAAAGGGGATGTGCTGGATGTATCTGGTTTAGACTAATATTACAGAAGTTCACCCAAGTGAACAGGATGATAAGAATCTTTATTTTTCTTATCAGCAAATATCAAGACCAAAACCAACAATAAGTGTATATCCAAGGCCTGATACATCTTATCCTTTTGTGCCATAGAAAAATACATCAACAAGCCACACATACCAGCCTTCTGCTCCAAATACACTACAACATCAAGTGTGTGTTGTTCCACAGATGAAAATGGTCCTTCACAAAGGCATTGTTTCCTCCTGTTTGAGTGATGGTTGTTAAAAACTGCAGTGCCAAGCCGTTTAATGGAATTACTGAGCCTCTTAAAAAAATGAAACTATACATTTGTGAGGTGTTTCTAAAGATTGATGTCCTGAGTTGGAACCAGAGGGCTTGAGACTGAGAGCCACAGGCAGGGTAGGGAGGCCTGAAAGTACCGAGACACGTGCCACCCACATAGTTGGCTTTGGTCTGTTCCTGGGTTTTTGATAATAAGAACTATGTAAAGTATTGTCACCCTGCAGCAGTTTTCTCAGGGAAGGTGGTGATGAGAGTGTCCAGTAGTCCATATCTTCTGAATACCACCATGTGTATAATTAATTCTCATTGGATGAAAGCAGAAGCAGCATTCAGAAGACTGTTTTATTTGCAGAAATATAATGATTCCAACCTTAATCCAAGACTTTCCAGATTTTGAGAATATGAAGCTGCTATAATAACTGCTTTTATACTAACAATGGATCAAATGTGATAATGTGAAACATGCTGTTTATCACCAACTCTGCATTTCCTCTGACCTCTTTAGAGCATTTGAGCATCTTTTAAACCAGTATTTTGCTTTTATGCCCCACCATTTGTTTTGGTTCTGTCTCTCTCTGCTCTTGTCAGTATGCTACTGACTCATCACCAAACAGTTGGTGAACATGGCAGAACATTGTCTTAGACCTTGCCGTGAATATTGGACTTCCATTTGTCAGGTGGCTAAAAACACAACTCCAAGTGAACTCAGTGCTTGGTGTCAGCTGGATGTGTAACCAGGCCACTGTTTCCAAACATTAGCCATTGTATAAGGTCATAATATCGTATGTAAGTGTTGTGTTTAAGGCTTTTTGTCCTATCCTCAAACAGCCAAACAAATCTATGAACGTACATAGTACAAAGTGAGACAAAGGTGTTTTCGTAATTAAATGTATGGTAAAGAGATTCAAATGCAACACTGGGGCTACAGTTGCACTAGTAATGATTTTACACTTTCAGATAGGTACAGTGCCTTGCGAAAGTATTCGGCCCCCTTGAACTTTGCGACCTTTTGCCACATTTCAGGCTTCAAACATAAAGATATAAAACTGTAATTTTTTGTGAAGAATCAACAACAAGTGGGACACAATCATGAAGTAGAACGAAATTTATTGGATATTTCAAACGTTTTTAACAAATAAAAAACTGAAAAATTGGCCGTGCAAAATTATTCAGCCCCTTTACTTTCAGTGCAGCAAACTCTCTCCAGAAGTTCAGTGAGGATCTCTGAATGATCCAATGTTGACCTAAATGACTAATGATGATAAATAGAATCCACCTGTGTGGAATCAAGTCTCCATATAAATGCACCTGCACTGTGATAGTCTCAGAGGTCCGTTTAAAGCGCAGAGAGCATCATGAAGAACAAAGAACACACCAGGCAGGTCCGAGATACTGTTGTGGAGAAGTTTAAAGCCGGATTTGGATACAAAAAGATTTCCCAAGCTTTAAACATCCCAAGGAGCACTGGGCAAGCGATAATATTGAAATGGAAGAAGTTTCAGACCACTGCAAATTTACCAAGACCTGGCCGTCCCTCTAAACTTTCAGCTCATACAAGGAGAAGACTGATCAGAGATGCAGCCAAGAGGCCCAGGATCACTCTGGATGAACTGCAGAGATCTACAGCTGAGGTGGGAGACTCTGTCCATAGGACAACAATCAGTCGTATACTGCACAAATCTGGCCTTTATGGAAGAGTGGCAAGAAGAAAGCCATTTCTTAAAGATATCCATAAAAAGTGTCGTTTAAAGTTTGCCACAAGCCACCTGGGAGACACACCAAACGTGGAAGAAGGTGCTCTGGTCAGATGAAACCAAAATCGAACTTTTTGGCAACAATGCAAAACGTTATGTTTGGCGTAAAAGCAACACAGCTCATCACCCTGAACACACCATCCCCACTGTCAAACATGGTGGTGGCAGCATCATGGTTTGGGCCTGCTTTTCTTCAGCAGGGACAGGGAAGATGGTTAAAATTGATGGGAAGATGGATGGAGCCAAATACAGGACCATTCTGGAAGGAAACCTGATGGAGTCTGCAAAAGACCTGAGACTGGGACGGAGATTTGTCTTCCAACAAGACAATGATCCAAAACATAAAGCAAAATCTACAATGGAATGGTTCACAAATAAACATATCCAGGTGTTAGAATGGCCAAGTCAAAGTCCAGACCTGAATCCAATCAAGAATCTGTGGAAAGAACTGAAAACTGCTGTTCACAAACGCTCTCCATCCAACCTCACTGAGCTCGAGCTGTTTTGCAAGGAGGAATGGGCAAAAATTTCAGTCTCTCGATGTGCAAAACTGATAGACATACCCCAAGCGACTTACAGCTGTAATCGCAGCAAAAGGTGGCGCTACAAAGTATTAACTTAAGGGGGCTGAATAATTTTGCACGCCCAATTTTTCAGTTTTTTATTTGTTAAAAAAGTTTGAAATATCCAATAAATTTCGTTCCACTTCATGGTTGTGTCCCACTTGTTGTTGATTCTTCACAAAAAATTACAGTTTTATATCTTTATGTTTGAAGCCTGAAATGTGGCAAAAGGTCGCAAAGTTCAAGGGGGCCGAATACTTTCGCAAGGCACTGTATATCATGTTTGTACCCATTTTCTGACATGAATGTCAAGTCATACTTTGATATGTATTTAGATGAAAACTGATGAATTAAAGTTAGATTTTTAGCCACTGAATCAAAGATACAGTACTAGTTTCCCAGCTGAGTTCAACCAAGCGAGTCTCGTCTCTGCCTCAGAAATGATTTGATGTAATGATATTGAGTGAGATCAATAGAACAGAGTGGTAATGTTTTATCTCTCTCTTGCACTCTCTCAGGTCCTGGTGGTGCAGCAGTAGCTACCTCTGAACTGGATCCACTTCCTGTCTCTGATTCATCAGCCGGCTTTGCCTTGCTCACCCCTCTCTCCACCCGTCCATCATTCCTCCGTCCCTGACTGTAAGCGCATCAGCCTGTCCATCCATCCATCCGTCCATCCATGGACTGGCCACGAGCCTGGAGGGAGGGGGGCAGAAACGAGGAAAGAGCGGAGTCGTAGAAGAGATGAAGGAAATGAAAGCTGGATTCATTCAGATGTCACACTTCTGAAGTGCCCCTGCTCACTGCCCTTCATCCCCCTCACCCTCCTCCTGTTATGGAGAATTAAAGGAGCAGTGGGAGGCTAGGCCACCATAGCAAGGAGAAAAAAAATAACCAACGCCCCTTGATTGACCTTAATAAAATTAAAAGGGTTCAGGCTTCATTTTAATTACACATTTTACAGTAGGATATCGAGGCAGAAAAAGAATCTGACTGTTGAGCACATGAACACCCCTCCACCCACCAAACAAAAGGGGTACTGAGTCAAGGACAGGCTACGGAGCAAAAGGAGGGCCCAACAGAAAAACACCCGTACTGACATGTCCACAACAGCCACGATGGGTGAAATGGCAAACAGTGCAGTGGAGTTTTATCCTAAAGGGACTCGAGGCGGAGGAGGAAGGGCAGATGGCAGTCATGCAGGGGAAGACTTTGGGGTCACGCTGAAGGAGCTCAGGGAGCTGATGGAGCTCCGAGGGGCTGAAGCCCTGCAGAAGATCCAGGACAGCTACGGAGACGCAGAGGGCCTCTGCCAGAGACTACAGTCCAGCACCACTGATGGTGAGCAGGCACTGCTGGATTAAAAGCTAGTGAGGAGGGTGGATGGAATGATAGATGGATGAATGATGGAGGAGTACATATGAGTGTAGGGATGGATGACACTGTATTGGTGGCTGGAGTCGAACATACACTCCTCTGCATGAGTGGTGTTGCTGCAAACTGCAAATCATGATTTCTACATCATCATTGTTTGACTCAAATAAATGGAGGTGATTACATGCGCTCACTAGTCATTCTCTAACTGACACACTGACAAAAATCATTTTATATTCTGAATGCATTATTAATACACAAGAGGACAGAATAAAAAAAACACAGCAACGTCACTGCAGTACAACGTCAGAGGTGGACACATGGAGAGCAAGGGTGGATAAGCTGATTGATGGTTAGATGAGGGGACTGTGCATTGTGAATCAATGCACAAACAAATAAATAAAAATAACTAGGTCTGAGATGTTTGGCCCAGTCTTTGATTGACTGAAGATTAATAAGCAAAATATTGATATTTGATTAATCAAGTCACATAAATGGTAAAAATGTAGAGATTTTTGCTTTTCTCAGTATTTTTTATTAATGTAAATTGGATTTCTTTAGATTTTATGCCATTTGTTGGACAAAACAAGACATGTGTCTCTATTCTCTGATCATTTTTAGACCATCAATTGCAAATACATTGATCTACAGAAATCAGTAGTGCTAATAATTTTTATCAATCAATCAATCTGATCATTTCAAATGACTGATTAATTGATTAATTGCATTCCCTAGCCCCTCTCCTTAACCTTAACCATCACAGCTAAATGTCTAACCCCTACTCTTAGCTAACCCTGACCTGAATCTAATTCCAACCTGCAGTCATGGAAGAAGCACTCAGAACCTTTACTCAAGTAAGAGTAGCAATACCACAGTGTTAAAACACTCAATTACAAATAAAATGAATTTATTCACTATATTACTTAATTTAAAGTACAAAAGTATGTGCAGCAATTTATACTTAAAGTACCATAAATTTATGCAGAACGGCACATTTCATAATAATGTATATCATATCATTGGATTATAATAACACGCTGGTAAAGGTGAAGCCAACTATATTACATACTAATTTGAATTACTGCTGGGCAGCTTGTGAATTTCCCACCAGGGATTAATAATAATAATATTTTATAGTTATACTGTATCTTGTTTTATTCATCTGATTCTGAAACATAACTAAAGTTATTAGATACATGTAGTACAGTAAAATTACAATATTTGCCTCTGAAATGTAGTGAAATAAGAAGTCGCAGAAAATCAAAATACTCACGTACAGATACCTCAAAGTGTATAGCACTTGAGTAAATGTACTTAGTTACTTTCCACCATTGCTAACCCAAACCCTAAAACCAAATCTTGACCCTCGAACAGCCCTTCGAAGTTGTGACAACCAGCCAGAATGTCTTCACAATGAAATACATGTGCGCGCACACACACAAGATACCAAGTTAATATGACTGTACCAGTCAGATTCCTAATGAATACTAAAGGTCAGATTTCGGGTGTCTGTGCCTTTAGTGTGTGTGTTTGCAGGGATGTGGTACCACACTATGCCCACTCCTTCAACTAGTTTGTAACCTAGCAACACAACAACAGAGAGAAGATGGCTGGGAAAATCTGTAACATGACGGAGAATTGTGAGAGGGAGATCGTGAGGAAGAGAGATGGGTGAATGAAGCAAGGAGAGTGTGTTCAAATGTAAGCATAGTCTATGGGGGGGGGTATGAGAGAGAGAGTTGGGGAAACAGTGTGAGAGTTGGTGGGGGTTGAGTTACAGTAAGTCTGTGTTGAGTGTTGCTAATTTGATACTGAGAGCTGATCAGGACTCAGAGCAGCACATCCTGACAAACTAAGCACACGAACACACACACCTACACACACGTTGGTCTTCCTGTATAGTTGGAAGGATACATTGACATAAAGCATTCCCTAGCCCCTTATCCTAATCTAATGTCACATCACAAATAAATGTCTAACCCCAGCCCTTTCTCTAAACTAACCTAAACCTAATTCTAACCATAACACCATATTGTCACCGTCAAACAGCCCTCTGAAGGTGTGAAAAATTTATTTCTCATTTAACCTTACTAACGTATGGTCTATCTACTTAGGGGCAACCTCACTTTTGCAGGAACACTGACCACATTCATACAGTTACACATTCGCACCTGGAAACTGCCCAATACAACCATGATTGTTTGGTAACGTTCCCAAGCACGATTGCCATCCCCTAACCACCCTGACCTGTTGGCCACTGAGCAGCTCCACTGGAGTGGGCTGGGGTTAAGGGCCTTGCCCATGCGCTCCTACGGTGTTCCCCATAGTGTGAGTGTGTTAACAGGTTTCAGTCCTCATGATGTAAGTAATACAAAGGCACACACACACACACACACACACACACACACACACACACACAGAGTCATATACTGTATTTGCAGTTGTCCCTACAAAGCAGAGTTGGCAAACAACACACACAAACACTGCTCTCCACGCTTGGACGGGCTTCCTATGCGCTGTGCTGACTTTCACAAATTACATATGGTGTCATCTGGTTTGCCAAAGTGCAAACGCAGATGAAGAAACATGTTTCCCACCTTGTAGAAATCTCACGTCATTACTCCAGACTCTGTCTACCCAAGCTTGTGACTGATCATTCAAAACTCGCAGCCGTTTGAAAGCACAACAAAAGCTGCTGCCTCTGCTTATTACAATGACAATAAAGCTGATCCTTGAGTAGGAACATGAATTGGCAGATCAGTTGGGAAAATGTGGGTATAGATGTGCATATTTTGCAACACTTCTACACAAATAGACAGAGTGTGACACGCACACTAGGGTAAACATACCACAGGCGTATACATTATGATGCAGTTGATGCTGAGCATTATCTGTAATGTGATACAACGTGCAGGGTGGGGGTTAAACCAATACAGAATGGGATCTCTCTCTGTCTCATACACAAACACAGATATGGACACCCCAGCACTGCAGTATGAGCCCATTACATCCACAATGAAGAGAGAGAAAGGAGGAGGAGAACAATGAAAGGGAATGAGGGAATGAAAGAAAGCGTGTGTGTGTGTGTGTGTGGTAATGGGGGGATAAAGGGTGAGGAGGGAAAGCTAGAACAGCTTGCCGCATTGTCAAGGACATATGAAGGGGAGATTGAGAGAGGGAGAAAAAGAGGAGGAGAACCAACAAGAGAGGCTACGGAAGAGGATGAAGAGGAAGGGAAGAATGGAGGGATGGATGAGTGGCTGAGAAAAGGAGGGAGGGAGGGTGGACTAATGAAAGGAGGATACAGCTCACTGCGATTACTCAGCATAAGATCACCTGTTTCTCCCTCTCCCTGTCTCTCTCTGTCTCGCCTCGGCCTGAACCCTGTTGAACGTCATATTGCTACACAATTCTTCGGCAGTGCTGGGAGTTACATATGACTCCCTGCAGCAAGCACATTGGACAAGGATGCATCCAAAAGAACACGCACTCACATTCAGGCAGACGGGTACAAAGATAGTCAGCAACCTTGGCCAACCACAGAAAATAACTGCAAATTGCTGTTGCCCCGACAGCCAATCAAAAAAGAAAGAAAGAAAAAAAAAAAGCTCTGCTCCAAGCCTACTCCACCGAAAGAATGACATCACCTGTTGCTGGGCGGAAACCTGTTAGAGGCAGGAAGTCCTGAACTTGATATCCTGGTCACCATGGAAACTGAATCACCTAGGGATGAGGTTGAAGAGGAGAGGGGGGTGAGGATGGAGATGAGAGAGAAAAGTAAATTTGGATTTAGCTGGCAAATTCATAGAGCTGACTTAGTTTTGTGTGTTTTAAGTTTTTTGACTGCATCGAGAAAGTTTGTCTGGTAGATTTAGCTTTTTTTTTGGGACAGATTTTGCATGTGTGTATCTAATACTGTATTTATGCTTATAACAGCACACAGAGTTTTGTTTTCATCACTACTGGCTAGTAAGTTCCACTTTCTGTGAAGAAATTTGCTAACAATTTGATCTTTATTGTTTTTCCTCCTTTTCTTTCTGTCTTAACCTCCCTCGCTGTCACTCAGGTCTCAGTGGGGACCCGGCAGACCTGGAGCACCGGCACCAAACATTCGGCCAAAATATTATCCCCCCAAAGAAGTCCAAGACTTTCCTGGAGCTGGTGTGGGAGGCCTTACAGGATGTCACACTCATCATTTTGGAGGCCGCTGCCATTATCTCCCTCGGCCTCTCTTTCTACCACCCTCCTGGAAAGGAAAGCGAATGTGAGGAGGATTTTTTCTGGGAGGTGGGGGTGGGGGTGTTTCAGGTGTGAATTGGATGTAAAAAAATTCAAGATGAGAGCTGGAGAGAAATAGAAGGAGACCGACACAGGGAGGTGAGGAAGGAGATGAATCATCATCAGCATGCAGTATCACCCTGTAACCAGTATCCAGGTTAAAGAGGAGCACAGGAATGAGTGTAGAGGAAGCAAAGGTTGTAGCAAGAGGAGAAAGGAAGACATTTAGGATGCTGAAAAAGATTCCATACTCTTTATAGAACAAGATGAGAGCTAAAGAAAAGGGAGGAGGATGAAACAGATGAGTTTATTCTTATAGTGCTCAACATTGTGGTTGTTAGAACCCATAGACTGTCACTGTGTTGCTGTGACACGAGCTGCAGATAAAGGGCAGGAAGTGAGTTTCTCCTTAGGCAGTGCTACCACAAGTTCTCAAAATTTTTATGGTTTGTGTTGTTTACAGAGAAGCTTTCATTGACTGTTAAAAGTAATTGTTGATAAGGGGGAAAATAGAAGAATTCAGAATCAGATTTATTTATTAGCGCCTCCAGACGGGAGGAGTTCAAACTGTTTGTGTCCAGGATGTGAGAGGTCTGCAGAAATCTTCTCTGCCCTGCAGTCCTGGCTTGCTTGGGAGTACAGTGGGGGGGACTCTTCCTGAAGTCCACTATCATCTCCACGGTTTTGAGCATGTTCAGCTCCAGGTGATCTGACCAAAAAACACTGACAAAAATTGGGAGAGGCACTGTGGTATTGAATGTTTGTTACTCGGTCAAGCATCAAGACAATAAAAGAAAAACCATTCACCCTGGTGAAAACCAAAAGACAGTCATTGTGGAGCATTTTAGTACCATGGTTGTGGACCCCACCGCTAAAAAAGTTGTATGCCTATACACTTTTGTATGCTTTAATTTCTTTTCTTGAGTAGAATGATGTGTGGAGGATGAGGTAGTTGCTTATATCGACTGCCTTGATAGCAGGCAAGACTTTCATTCCAGCTGAAAATCTACTCTTCATAACATAAGGATCATGTCCAACACATTGTGATTTTCTGTCAATAACATTCTCTTGTTGTATTGTCTAATCTAGCACAGTACAGGCACAGGCTTTCCTCCATCTCATCCATTCTCTGTTTCACTTCCTGCACTTCAATTGTATTTCGCATGTCATAATAGTCACATGATTGCAAACATTATGACTGAAAATGTAGTGTGCCACAGGTAAAGAAGAGTCTTATTAACAAAACAAACAAAAAAATATCATAGCTTGGTGCTCAATTCTTTCTGAAAATCCAGTCCACTGATGCAGTTATAAAAGCTAGTAAGTGGACCTTCAGCTAAGATAATTTGGTCCAACTGCCATTTTCAAGAATGAGCTTTCAGACAATCAGCAGATTGTCTCAGTAATATCAGCTATACAACAAATCTATTTAAAATTTGCTAAGATTTGCATTTGTAAGTGGCCATCATACCAGACCAAGTATGGCTATAGCAGCACAACCTCTGTGTAGTTCACTAAGAGAACGGTTTTATTTTGGCACTATTGGGTTAATGGTAAAAGACAAACACTAGTATACCAGTACTGTCACACAAGAAAAGAGGAGATATTAAGTCAGTGAACTGATTCTCTGATTTCAGGTACTTCTGAGTGTACTGAATTAAGCAACGGAACATTAATATTGCTTACTATTTCAACTTTTCATTTTATGGAAGAATGTGTCTGATAAAATATGGCTTCTTTTTAAAGTTAGAGAATATTGCTTTAATGGGTCAGTAAAGTGTGGAAAGTCCAGTGGGAAGAAGATCGAAGGAGTATCACATCACAATGTAGGCAGTCTACCTTTGACACCTAACTGTAGGAGAACCAAGAGAGAAGAACCACAGCACATGAGTCACCTGGGCTGATATTGTATTCATACACTGAATTCACACTTAAACATTGCTGCAGTATCTGGTTCAGGTGTAATTAAATAAAAGTGATTGTCAGATGAAATTTAAAATTAGAGTATTTACAACCTAGGAAGTTTTGTGTAGATGGTGTGAATTAATAAGCATATTATACTTTGTTCCTATTACTGATTACTGTTTGTGTAAAACTGAAAGATTTGCTGAGTAATGATATAATCACCATAACTGGTTTCATAATTAAAAGATAAAAATGCACAAAATAAGGAAAAGTGAAAGGGACTGCCAAACTGTTTTGTGCCGTAACAGGTAACATTAGAGAGGGAGTGGGTTCAGTGGACAGTGAATGGCAGTAAGTATGGTAAGTTATATGATACACACAAACTCTAGCCAAAAGACAGCCACTCTGAGTAAATGCCACTGCAGTTAGCCATGTTTTATATTCTAGGTCATACCTAAATGTCTTATAGTGGTTCACCAGAGAGACTCAGGAGGTTTTGATATGACATCTGTTAGGTTGGGTGGTGGGTGACTCATCTCTCTACATTTGAATCACAGATTATCCCTTTAGTTTTGCTTGCCATTTTGCATTTGATAACTTACAGGAAGGTTAATAAACCTATCCCACTGTCCATTCCACTACCCAGCAGTACTTCAGGCAGGTTAAATAATATTTGATTCAGTTGTAATATTATGTCTCGATCTGTGCCCTTCACAACATATCTAACCAACAATCCTCCTTTCTCCAGCATGTGGGAATGTGTCGGGGGGTGCAGAGGATGAAGGCGAGGCTGACGCCGGATGGATTGAGGGTGCAGCCATTCTACTGTCTGTTGTATGTGTCGTCCTGGTGACAGCGTTCAATGACTGGTCCAAAGAGAAGCAGTTCCGAGGTCTACAGAGTCGGATCGAGCAAGAGCAGAAGTTCACTGTCGTGCGGAAAGGAAATGTCATTCAGATCCCTGTGGCTGACATGGTGGTGGGGGACATGGCCCAGGTCAAATATGGTGAGGAGGCCAACGCAAATGCTTATTGTATGAAAGAGGAACAATTAACTTATAGGAGGATTTTTGTCTAATTCTAAGTGAATGTTGAAAGAAGAGTCAGAATTGAAGAATTTTCCATTTCAGGCATTTTACTTAACAGGCTTTGGTGGGGCATTACACAGTTACTGCACATAGATAGACCAACATCAAGCATATATTCTCAAACAAAGAAGCTGTGCTATGCATTTGTTACTTAAGTATAATGGCTCACAGAAGTCCCTGACGTATAAAGGCAAATTTTATCCTGTACTTCATTGCTAATATGGCACTTCAATGTTCTCCTGATAATGAAAACTGACTCATGCCTTATGACTTCAGAGTGAGCTGCAAAAAATGTCCAATGAACATCAGTCATGTAAAATGCCACCATTCTTTGCTGTAAACAAGTTCCTTGCAGGTCTGTATTAGTCATATCCTGTGGCCACATGTTAACCTATAGATCCCATTTCATTGGGTGCAGACTCAAGAAACTGCAAATAAAGAAGCAATCCCTAATACAGGTGAAAACATCATGCTAGGATAGTCCATCCATCCATCCATCCATCCATCCATTTTTCTCTGCTTATCCATGACTGGGTCACGGTGGCAACAGGCCAGATAAGATAAGTAATCTCTCCAGCATGTTTTGGGTCTACCACGGGGTCTCCTATCAGTTGGACGTGCCTGGAAGAAGTTGAGCACCCTGGAGGCATCCTGATAAGGTGCCTGAACCACCTCAATTGGCTCCTTTCCATGTGACTTCACAGTGGTTCTACTCTGAGCCATCTGCATGTCCGAACTCTGTACCTTAACTCTAAAGGCAAAGACACACCATGTTGATGGTTGGCCATTGGCCATTGTTGGGCTGTCTGTGAGCATCTGTGGGCGCCCGTCTGCCTGGCATGTGGCGCAGAATTGGCACTAGTCGGCCTTCATTTGTGGCTTTTCAGCTGACATGCTGAATTGGTGTCTACGGTCAGGCCTCATCGGTGACAGAGACCACTCTGATTGGCTGTTGAGCTTAGAGAATCAGTGCACGTTAAGAGAACAATTTAGGAAAGACCCTTCAGCCTGTTGCTGTAGTATCCATGATTTCACCCATTTAGTGTGGTTTATTCTTGTTTTTTTGCCTCCACAACTTCCTTTCTTCTTCTACAACCGAAAGACTAAGGGCAAAGAACAGCAGTGTTAATCGTAACTTCTAATCGGATATATTCTTGATTAGAATCAGCAGCTGTTTTGAACAAGAGCTTCTTTATTTATAGCTTATACTTCTGCATCCTAGTTTTTCTTTTTTCCCTTTCTGAATGGCAAATACAGATACGGCCAACTGTTGGTGGGGGGGTTATTTCTGTCACACAGGCACTGAACTAAGGTGCTAGTCGATTTTGGGCTGTAGTCTGTACAGTGTGTTCAACCCAACTGGCCCAGACAAAGCTGACATGAGGTGATGCAGGGGTGACACCTTTGTTGCTGGTAGTTTTTTCATGTCGGCTTGTTGTGTCTCTGCCCTAAGTCTGTGTCTGGCCACTCTATGAAGGGAACTCCTTTTGGCTGCCTGTATTTGTGATCTTATGCTTTTGGTCACTACCCACAGCTTGTGACCATAGGTGAGGGTTGGAGCATAGATTGACTGGTAAATCGAGAGCTTTGCCTTTCAGCTCAACTCCTTCTTCACCATGATGGTCTGGTATGTCTGCATTACTGCTGATGTGCCTGTCAATCTCATGCTCAGTTTTACCCTCACTCGTGAACAAGACCCTGAGATACTTAAAGATTCCTTCACTTGGGGCAGCAACTCACTCCTAACCCAGAAAGGGCAATCCACGGTTTTTCATCAGAGCACTATGTCCTCAGATTAGGAGGTGCTAATTCTCATCCCCATAGCTTCACACTTGGCGGCAAACTGTGCTAGAGGTCACGGTCTGATGAAGCCAACAAAGCTACATCATTGGCAAAAAGCAGAGATGCATTTCTGAGTTCCCCAAAACAGAGCTCCCCTCCCAGGTCTGGCTCCAGCAGGGTGCCCAGGTTTCCCCAATCCGGGTGAAGTAGCACCACTAGAAGTGACCATTTTCATTAGGGTTTTTGAGTCACTGTTTGTCTCATTCCTCCCCTGGGAGCAGTTTGCCTTAGGAGACCCTACCAGGGGCTAATGCCCTGGACAACACAGCTCCAGCAATTCCAGGAGAGGATGCTAAGTTATTAAACGTGGTAAATAAAAGAATAAAGTTAGGCTAATGAGTAAAAATCACCCAATATTTACAAATATTTTACTATTGATTAATCCATTAATATCTTCCCAGAGTGAATGCTTAATTGTACACCCTATAGAATATCAGAAAAAACTAACTGCAAGAAGCAAAATAATATATTAAAATGGCATAGTTTTGACATTGCTAACTGATAATTATAAGTAATATGTTTGCATACATATTTCATTAAATGTCTTTTACAAAAAACAACATAATTAAAATTTCATATAGTGAACTGAATGTTTTTGAAACCACTGAACAGTAAAACTGGGGTAAGTCGACTTTATCAGCTTTGCTTCTGTCTGTCCGGATTTTTGTGGCTCTCACTAATTTAAAAAATATAACACTAATGCCCCACCTTTGTATTCTTACTACATGCCCTTAAAGAAATAATTTGACATTTTGAAAAATAGGCTTATTTGCTGTTTGTTGAGGTTTTTATTCCACTCTAATGTCTATACACTATTAAGCTGGAGCCAGTAGGTGATTAGCTTAGCTTAGGTGAAAGACTAGAAGAGGGGGAACAGCTAACCTGAAATCAGCCTACCAGCAACTCTACATTGAATCAACTTTGCAATGAATCAACCTTATTTTTTATTTGTGCACAAACTGAAATTAATTGTGCTTTTAGAGGGAGTTACATGTTAATAACCAGTATTTTCATATCTATGTATGGATTAAACAAATGAGATATGATGTATAATTAGCAAAATTTAAATATGTTGTAGTAGGTGGACTTTCAAACTTTGGACAGAGCCAGGAAAGTTACTCCCCTGTGCTTCCAGTCTTTATGCAAAACTAAGCTAATCACCTTCTGGCTGTATATTATTTCATAGCACAAGCTTCAGTGGAATGAATCATCTTAAGTCTCAACAAACATGAATATGCCTGTTTTCCAAAATGTTGACTATTCCTGCGGTACCTGCACTGCTTTCCTTTGCCATAAAACATTCACAAAGTACATAAATCTTTTTGTTAGCAGGCACCCACACACTGACATGTGCCCAGTCAAAAAGGAATTAAGCTACAAAGTGAATCAAACACTGATTTGTGCACATCTGTGTTTAGGGGACCTGCTCCCAGCTGATGGCATCTTGATTCAAGGCAACGACCTGAAGATAGACGAGAGCTCTCTTACCGGAGAGTCTGACCATGTACGCAAGTCTGTAGATAAGGACCCAATGCTGCTCTCAGGTTTGTTTTTACATTTTTGAATTTGCTGTCCACCACACAGCTGATACCACTTGGAGAATATCATGTATTTATCATAGCACAGTCCACATTCATACAGTCGCAAGAAAAAGTAATGTCACTATTTACAATTTCCTGATTTTCTGCATCAATGAAATGTGGTCTGATCTTCAACAAAGTCACAAATATCAACAAACACAATATTTCTAAGCTGATAAAACACAAACAGTCACAATCTTTTATGTCTTTGATGAATACACCCATTAAACATACAGAGTGATGTTGGAAAAAGTCATGACAACACTCGGCTTCTGATGTCACTAAACGTCAACTGGAGTCAGGTATTAGCAAACCTGGAGGTGTGGTTTAGAACTACCTTTACTTATAAATACACTCAAACAGTGTCAGTGTGCTATTCATAAGCAGCATCAGCTGATGTGAGCCATGCCTCTCCAAAAAAGAAATCTCAGAAGACCTGCAGTCAAGAGTTGTTGATTTACATGTAGCTGGAAAGAGTTACGGAGTCATCTCAAAGACTTTAGATATTCATCAGTCCACAGTTTGACATATGGTCTATAAATGGAAACAATTTGGTACTGTGACTACTCTCCATAGAAGTGGGCGCCCAGCCAAGATCACTCCAAAGGCACAATACAGAATGCTCATCAGGGCAAAAAAATCCTAGAGTAATAGCTAAAGACTTGAAGAATTGGACTGGACTTGGTTAACATCTCTATTCACGAGTCAACCACAAATATTGAACAGGCATGGTATCCATGGCAGGACACCACAGAGGAAGCCATTGCTCTCCAAAAACAACACTGCAACATGCCTGAAGTTTGCTAAAAACCAGCTTGACACACCACAGCATTACTGGGAAAATGTCCTGTGAACAGATGAAATGAAGGAAGACTTGTTTGTGAAGAACACACAGCACTACATATGGCCTAAAAATAGAACCACGTACCAACATGAAAACATCATCCCAACAGTGAAGTACGGTGAAGTGACCATCACGACTGGGAGCTGCTTTGCACCTTCTGGCCCAGGACTGCTTGCCTTTGTGGAGGGGAAGATGAATTCCCAAGTTCATTAAGGTATCCTACAGGATAATGTTAGGGTGGTTGTCTGCAAGCTGAAGCTCAGAACAAACTGGGTGATCAGCAGGACAATGACCCTGAATGTCAAGTAAATCTCCTACAGAATGCTTAAGAGACACAAAATCCACCTTTTGGAGTAGCCCAGTCAGAGCCCAGACATCAAGCCAATAGAGATACTGTGGAATGACCTCAAGAGAGCCATTCACACTAGACGTCCTAAGAATAGGGCTTTGCTGAACCAGTTTTATGAGGAAGAATGGTCCAGAATTCCTCCTGAACATTGTGCAGGTCTAATCCACAGCTAAACGAAGCACTTACTTGAGGTATTGCTGCCAAAAGACATTGTATGTGGAGTGCCTCAGGGTTCTGTTTTGGGACCTAAATTATTTATACTATATATTAATGATATATGTAAGGTTTCTGATTTAGTGAAAGTGGTTTTGTTTGCTGATGACACTACCATATGGGCATCGGGTGAAAACCTACAGCAACTCTCTGGATGGGTTACACAGGAACTTGAGAAGATAAAGAAATGGTGTGACAGTAATATAGTATATCTGAATTTGGATAAAACTAAATTTATGGTATTTGGGAATCGCAGACTAGACAATGAACTTCACTTGCAAATTGGGGGAGCTAATATCTAACGAGTACATGAAATTAAATTTCTAGGTGTCATAGTTGATGACAAATTCTCCTGGAAATCTCATATCAGATATGTTCAGAATAAAATAGCAAAAAATATATCAATATTGGCAAGGGTTAGATATATTTTGGATGGGAAAGCACTACGCATTTTGTATTCCTCATTGATTCTACCATACTTAGAGTATGGCGTTGAAAACTGGGGAAATACATACAAAAGCTCACTTCAACCATTGTATATATATTACAAAAAAGAGCGATAAGAATTGTGCATAAGATGGGATATAGGGATCACACCAATGTAGCTTTCATACAGTCTAAATTGTTAAAATTTTTTGATTTAGTGGGATATAAGACTGCTGTGTTTTTGTATAAAGCCAGGAACAATTTATTACCTGGTGGAATTCAAAAACTATTTAATGAAGGGGAAGGGGGATACAATTTAAGGGGTCAGTTAAATTTAAAAATTCATGCTATACGTTCAACCATAAAAAGATTTTGTATTTCCATAAGTGGGGTAAAACTATGGAATAATTTGTGTGGACATAAAAAATAGTAATAGAACTGACATGTTTAAACATAAATATAAACGTACAGTATGTGTCAATCAAGATATATGCAAGAACAGGCTTAATGATTAATTACATGGACAATTGTGGGTGTGGTGTACATTTTGTAACCATTCTTTAGTATATTACTTGTGTGATGTAAGAATGTTAACACTGTTATATTCTTTTTTTAGTATAATATGTGTGTGTGTAGAAGTGAATCATTTACTGCTTGCAAACCAATGATGGTAAGATGATGTCATGGGGTAGGACTGGATAAGTCTGACTTCTTCCTACTCCATTCAAGCATGTACTAGGTATAAGCAAATTGATTTTGGATTATGTGTAAAATTATGTGTGTTGTCATATCAACTGTTTTACATGCTTGAAAGAATAAATCAAATCAAATAAAAAAAAATCAAAGGTGGCTGAACCAGTTATTAAAACACTGTTTCCATTAATTTTCCCACCATAACTTTGTATGTTAAATGAGTATGTTGAATAAAGACATGAAAAATCATGACTGTTTGTTTTTTATCAGCTTAGAAATGTTGTGTTTTTTGATATTTGTGACTTTGTTGAAAATCAGATCACATTTCACACCAATTTATGTAGAAAACCAGGAAATTGTAAACAGTGACGTTACTTTTTCTTGCCACGAGAGACCTAAACAGAGACAGAATGTGAATGTTATAGTTAAATTCATATGGTGACCCGAGCCACATGAATTCCAATGTTGCTCAGGTGTCTGCCTGTGTGAGTACAGTAACTGTTAACTGTTAACATCTTAGCATCATATCTGTGACAACTTCCACTTTGTAAGCACCACTGCTCTAAACACAGTCTGTTTGGACATTAAGGTACGCATGTGATGGAAGGCTCGGGGAGAATGTTGGTGACAGCTGTAGGCATCAACTCACAGACGGGCATCATTTTCACCCTGCTGGGTGCTGGAGATGTGGAGGAAGATGGAAAGGAGAAGAAAGGTAGGTGAAAGAGAAGATCCAGTGGTGAGATGCTATGTTTACAGAAGTGGCACTTTGGATTGTATTAAGAGAAAGATGGAGCTATTTTTGTTGAAGAAACAACAGGTTTTTAGTACTTTAATGTGTTCATATAGCAAGATGACAGAGTGATAGCTTACATTTAGTGATACGTTAAAAGCACAAATGACTCTTGGACTATGCAAACCAGTAGAGGAAGGAAAAATATGCTCACAAAACCAAGGAAAGAAGTTGGATGAATACTTCAAACCACTCTTGAGTCAGATAACATGTACTCACACACATAAATGGATTGCTGAAAGGGCCTACTAGGCATGGGGTCAGGGGCACCAGGACCAGAGCCTCTGTTAGAAGTGACATATTTCTTATTAGGAAGTTAATCAAAAGACAAAGAAATACAAAATAACTACAAAGACTCTAAGTGACCACAAGAAGACGCAAAGACATCACTAACCCACACAGAGCAACCACAGAATATGCAAAATAACCACAAAGACATACAAAGTTACCACAAAGAGACTCAAAACAACCTCAAAGAAATGCAAAATCATAACAAAGTCATGCAAGACAACCATGAAGGACACCCACAAAGGATGTAAATCGATGGCAAAGACAGTCAAACTGGCTACAAAGGGACGCAACATTACTACAAGGAGTTTTAAAATGACTACAAAAGGACACAAAGCAACCATAAAGACACACAAAATGGCCACAAAGAGTTTTGGTCTTTTGGAGTCTGGGAGGGCTTCCTTTTATTTTGGGGTAGTGGGGGTCTTATACATATGTGCACCCAGAGGCCCATTGTGACTTAATCTGTCCATGCTCACACACCACTGGGTGTGTGTGTGTGTGTGTGTGTGTGCTGTTGGGTGTCTAACTGATTTCAGATAAGAGCTTCAACAGGAAAGACATGAGTTTAACCTCATAGATAATTTAGCCCACATCCTCTCCATCCCGTTCTCCACTCTGTTTCTCTTGTTCCCGCTCACTGTCTCACGTTCTCATGTCCCCTCTCTCTGCCTATCCATCTTTCTTGATTTCTCTCAATTGGTCTCTTGTTTGCCCCAATCCTGTGCCATCCTCACTTTCTTGTCTCTGTTGTCGTGCTCCCCTGTTTCTCGTTCCCTCCCTTAATTTGAGAGAGAGGGAGGCCGCAAATTGAATCAATTATTGAAAGAGCAGAGAAGAGCGAGGGAGCTGGAGAGATTCAAGGAGGTGTATTGGCTGGTCAATGCATGAAGCATTAGCCTATGCTCAGATGTGTTTTGGAAGGGCCCTGCTGTTAGAGCAGAGCTGCAGGCAACAATATGGGCTACACATACTTTCAGAAGCACTTAAGGTTAATATCATTACACGTGCACTCATCCATGCCTCTACCTCTGCAGTTCTCACTTTTGCATAGGAATGTGCATAATATTGTTGGCATATTAAAAAAGAAAATATTTGTTACATGCTGGAATGCAGAAATAGACAGCAACAAATTAGCTGCTGCTTATTTCATGAAAAGCTACTCTTATCGCTTGTTGTCCTCATTTTGTTTCCTAAGTGTTTCTTGTGTACTAGATGTATTGCACTCAGTGCAGCAGCCTCTGTGGGCTGGATCATTCGCAGTCATTTACTGGAGCTATTCAATTATTCATAAGACTTCCACAAATGCCATAACTTGTTAGCTTTCCTCATGTAATGTGGGTTTGCGATGGGGCTGTTTACTTTTCTCATTTGCTCATTTGAAAAAAACAGATAAATGCCATTCTTATGCATTTCTAGTTCATGTTTTACAGCAAAGAATATGAATCCTCTCAGTGAATCACAATTCAGGTCATGTGAGACAAGGTGTCAAGTATGTTCAGCCGGAGGTGTGCTGCGTGAAATCAATTTTCAGCATAATTTTGCTTAAAGCTGCATTATCTAACTTCTCCTTCTAATATTCGACCATTAAGGGCGAAGTATATGTCCAAACAAACTCAAGCAGCACCCCTCCTCTTCTCCGTTCGCTCCTCTTTGCCCCTCCTGCCCTGTCTGTGAAACTATGTCATATGTGGTCACAACAGCCAAAGACAGTTGGGGCAGTCAGGTAGCACAGCAGTAATAATCGGCTCCAGAACTAATGTGTACAAAATATAGAGCCTGTGGTTTTCGGTGGCAAGAGGTTTACATTTAGCAATATGTAGTGGATGTAGCTGCAGTGACACAAGCAAATTATACAGAGGAATGTTTTTCCCATTAATATTGTCACAGTACTAGTGTTCAGACCACCACTGAATTGTGTTCAGTGATACATATTTGATATTTGAAAAACACATCATATAATCTTGGATCATGGGGCCGTGGAAGAAGTGCAGTGCAGACTTTAGCAACAGTGGCCACAGAGGGCAAGAAATAAACAAGGCCTGAAGATAGCAGGGGTTTAGTAAAGCAGGGAGAAAACACTTCTAGACATTTCTTTATTTGATTTATCTGAATTTGTGCTAAATATTAGGTCATGCAGTTTTAAATATGGATCATTTAGACAACAATGAAGAGCCTGTGATCTTCTCTTTCATGACATAAAAAGACAGGAATCACTTGACATGGCAAGAAAAACACCTTGTAGCAGTAAGAGAAAAGTATTCTCCAAGTGAAGAATACTGAAATATTAAACACTGACAGTGTAAAACACTGAATACAGTGACATACTGCATACTGAGTAACACTAAGTAGCAAAGAACCAGTGGAGTATTGTAAAACTGTGACAAATTTTAGCAAGTGAGCATGTTTGTTGCTCTTTAAATAAGAAAGCTGAGGCCTCATAAAACTCTGCAGGTTAAAACATGGCGTGTTTGTGCTCAGGGGTTTTGTAGTCATGGCCCAGTGTAGTATGACCTTGTAAATCTATAATATACGCTGTATAATGGGCTCTTTTTGTTGCAGTTTCATAATGACCACTGTCAGGAAGTAACTGTAATTAAATTGCAAAATAAATATAAATGTAATCAGTTACAGTTGATGAGAAAAATATGTAATTAAATTACAGTTACTATTCAAAATGTTGGCAACTACAAAGGATTACATCTGAACATAGTCTTCTAGGTAATAGGTTTATAGGTATAACATTCATCCTCTTGCTTCACATCTTTTTGCCTTCTTTTGGCATATTTCCAGAAAAATCTGTTGGCACAAATAACATGATCAAGAGCAGGATGGCTAACAAGGAGCTGTCTCCACATCTAAATAGGCTCCATTCATTTGGCAGAACGAGTTAAATTTTGAACATTGCTTTTGATTGGTTCTCTTGTTTGACTGTGCACCACCTCTCATCTGTCAATCAAATCAAATCAAATCACATTGCTCTAAGCAGTCTGGCTGCAACCAGCCGACAATGCCAAGGCGGGTGCCCATGCTGTCGGACAAGAATGCCTTTCAACAGGTTTTGCTTGTTGCCCTTTCAGTCGGCTACATGTTTCAGCAGTAACGTTTTATGTAACTGACGTTATGTTGAAGAACCTTTAATAAAAGATTGACAGTAATACGTGTTGCATACTGTTGTGAGGTTTACATTGCCTGTTTTAAATTTATGTCAGGAATTTCAGCTCTATTGCCCAGTTGAAAACAGTTTTTTTAGAAAATGTAATAATACTTTAATGAAGTCATTTAGATAGTTATATTACATTACATTATTACATTTTTGACAGGGTAACTAGTAATCTGTAACCTATTACATTTTAAATATAACCTTCCCAACACTTTTATTACCTACACTTTTCCTACTTCACCAGCATTTTACCAGCCTGTTTTATGCTGATTTACTGTACATATAATACTGCAATTTACAAAACCCATGGCCTTTATATGGACTAGTTTGACTCTGAAACATGCCAATAAACAAACTGTAAATGTCAGAAATCATTCAATTAATGATGTTTAGTTTTGTATGTTACCTCTTTGTAAAGGTTGTAAAAATGGTGATATCTGTTTTTGCAAATGAATTCTTCACTTGGAGAATTCAGTTTCATTCTGTGTAATCCTCTGCAAACATTCTACTAGTATAGTTTCACTTCCCTCTTTGCTCTCTTTTGTTTTCCCTTTTTGCCAACACATCTCATGTGCCCCAAAACCTTCCTTCCTCACTCATTCCCCAAGCAGAGGGCAGTACTCAGTTGCTCATCTCTACAGAAGCCAGTTACGGCACAGTCACCAATGGTATGTGAGCATAAAGTTGTCTGTCCTACTCCTTTCCTCAGCCAGTGAATGGACCCCAGTACACGGTGCAGTAACATGACAATGACCTATGATGGACATGTGCATCTAAAAAAAAAAATTCTGTTTTTTGACCCAGTGTATGAAGATGTGTGTACCTCTGTTACTCTTCCCTTATTGTTTCTTTGTGGTTTTCTGTTTCTGGAAGTGTGTCATGATCAGAAATATGAGGTGCTGATGAATATGTGAACACCAGTTCATAACTTTTTGTCTTTCTGCTCCCTTATCTTCATGTCTCCCTGCATCTAACTCATCCCCCTCCCTTTCTCTCAGGAAAACAACCAGATGGAGCTGTGGAGAACAATCAGAATAAAGGTAAGAGCACAATATGTGTTGTGTGCGTGTGTATGAAGATCATTTCATCGTCAAATGCAATGCTGAAGAGCGTATATGCTTTGTGTGTTTGTTTCAGCCAAGAAGCAGGATGGGGGTGTAGCCATGGAGATGCAACCCCTGAAGAGCGCCGAGGGAGGGGAGGTGGAGGACAGAGAGAAGAAGAAGACCAATGTTCCAAAGAAGGAAAAGAGTGTGTTGCAGGGCAAGCTCACCAAACTGGCTGTTCAAATTGGCAAAGCAGGTACAAAACTGCCTGAGCAGGGTTCACACTCTTCAGCAGTCATTTAGGCACTTTCGACATTAAAACCGAACACATAATGGGTTCCGTAGCTGTCAGTCTCACAGAGCTTTTGTGGCAATGATGCACAAAGAACTTCTTTCTGAATAGGGGAAATGAACGTGGGAGCCATGAAAAACTTTGTACTTAAAGTGCAATGAATCATAGATAGAATTATGTTTCATTAATGCTCATTACCAGACAGACAAGTGATGTTCTCCAGTAAAGATAAAGAAATGAAGTGAATAATAAAACACTTAATTTGCTGAGCATGCATTACTACAGACCTAAAATAAAAACAAATTTCTAATAAAGTTACAACAGGCTGATAGTGTGACACTTTGATAAACTGTCTCCTCTTTGAATCTGCCCACAGGTTTGGTGATGTCAGCCATCACTGTCATCATTCTGGTGCTGTATTTTGTCATCAACACGTTTGTTGTTGAAGGTTTGTGTGTATACATCTTCCTAACAAACACACAATTCTCACTTCCTGGTATGTTTTACCCCTGTCAGTCTTTTCCTGTTGTGTTAATGTTTACCACTCTGCTGAGCATGACTCGACTTACTCTGTAATTGGAATTATTTGTTTGGCCTTCATATGTATTCTGGTGTGTGTTGCAGGTCATGCTTGGTTGACAGAGTGCACCCCGGTCTACATCCAGTACTTTGTCAAGTTCTTCATCATTGGAGTCACTGTGCTGGTGGTGGCTGTCCCAGAGGGCTTACCTCTCGCTGTCACCATTTCTCTGGCTTACTCTGTTAAGGTAGACCCATTCATCCAGTTTAACGAAAGCTTATCAAAAGGATATATAGGTGGTTCCTGATACTGTGCACTGACACCACACAGCCAGGTGAAGGAGTGTATGCAGAGAATGAGGTGTGTGTAATGAGACCTGAGTAATACAGATTTTAAAGGTGCATTAACAAAGATTTTATACACTTTCTGATAAACCCAGTGACAATGGGACAGGACATGGTGTCTCTCAGCTATACTACCCCCACTTCATGTCACTGCTGCCTACAGCCCGTCTGTTGTTATTCCAGCTTCTCTATCCTGTGTTGTCAAAGTACAGTCTGTAAATCAGCCCCTCCTGCCACCTAGCCAAGGTTATAAGAGGCATTTTTTCAACCGTGACTAGTCATTTCAACAGTCGGCCATGGAGCAGGTCTGGGCAGCTAAAAGTCTGACACAGTGGCTGCAAGACTGAAGAGGTGGTGTTCTTTTGCACAGAGAGAGTGGAATGAAGAAAGAGAAAAAACAGGATTAGAGAGCTTGTACTGTCATTGAGTGTATCTGTGGCATTTTATTCATCCGAAGTTGTTTAGATTTCTCTAAATCTAGCTTTACAAACAGCCGAGATGTTTTCAAACCATTTCCCTTAGTGCCCCCTCAGTGATTATGGCTAAAATAAGGTTAGGTTTGGGGGGATGGGGTCATATCTTGATGTCATATCTCAATGGGGAGCCCACTTCAGCACAACCCTATTCAGGAATAAGCGGTATAGATAATAGATGGATGAATATAACATACTACCCTTGCGGGTCACAGCAGGTGTCAGTGACCAAGAGTTGTATTTTTGTATTAATAAAAATTGCTGTTCCTCTGGAGTGACTATTAAAACTTGAATGAAGAACATGTCCAACCCAGTGTCTACAGTTCATAGCTTCATGTGATTATTGCACAGATGGGTCTCTTATAAGAATATTATGTCACAATTAATGTTTTTCAGATGAGAAAATACTCTAGACTGCTTAACTGGGCCACCCACGCCTCTGACATTCCAAATAACAAATCTAACAGAGGGCCCTATAATACTGGACCTAGCACTTAGATTTAATATAAACACATGACATATGAAAAACAAGGGAACAAAACAGCATGACAGGAATAAGAAAACTATAGGAAGTATGACATTAGGTGCAACAAGAATGCATTTTGTACAGATTGTCAACCAGGCGTCTTTAGTATATGTTTTTGCTAGACAACAGGGCATGATGGGCGGGGCCTATGGTGTCAGTTTGTTTTGAGTCTCACTAGACCCAATAATGGCTGAAAGAAATGAGGTAGAATAGCTTTGAAAAAGCACAATCAGAAGAATGTGTGAGGATAGGAGGATTCAAGTGTGGCTCTGTTGAAAGTACATTACACTAAAGGCTGTAATTTCCACTGGGCAGTGAGTGAGCATCTACCGCTTCCCTTACAAAAGCCTGTTTTTGCCCCCTCACTTATACAGTTATATTTCCTCAGTACAATCTTTCTAAACAATGTCATGTGTCTGTCCAGCTGTCAAAATCCAGAGGAAAGAAACTTTCAAGTATTCAAACATTAGCAAGCTAATGATAAAAATGTTTATCCTGCTTATCTGAGTTGTCTTCAGCTATTACCATGCATGCACAACAATAAGCAGTGAGAGTTCTGCAGGCTTTTTCCCCCTGAGCCTCAGCTCTACACACAGTGCTCCACAGTCTGTAATTGTTTAAGATTACTGGGGCTGTATGCAGCCTGACAGGAAAAGCTGCAGGCATTATTGTATTCTAAAGGCTTCCTTCATGCAAATAACTACTCAAAGTCCAAATGACTGATCATTTGCATGTAAAAAAAAATTAAGGGATAGTTTTACATTTAGGAAATGCACTTTCTGGCTAAGAATTAAATAAGAAGATTGAAACTGCTCTGATAAATGTTCAACCAGCCAGCTGACTTAGCTTAGCATAAACACAGCTAGTCTGGCTCTTCAAAATCTATACTAAGCTAAATCTATGCTAAGCTAAGATAGCCATCTCCTGGCTTTAACTTCATATTGAATTGACAGACATGAAAGTGGTATCTTGTCATCTAACTCTTGGCATGAAAGTTTTTACATAAAACAAATGATGGATGTACAAGTGTAAAATTCAAGATCCAACTTTCTTATAGTTTTAAAACCTCGACCTGTTGCAGTCAAAGAAAATGAAACATATTAATTCTATTTTAAATATATAATTAATATCAGTCCAAAGGTGCTGCTTTCTAGAATCTGAATATGTTTGTTTGTTTACTTAATAGATCATTTATTTCTCTCTGCCTCTGTCCTTTCATCACTCACTCCCACTCCACTCTTACATCCAACTTTCTCCTCTCCATCACCCTGTCATATGTAGAAAATGATGAAGGACAACAACCTTGTACGTCACCTGGATGCATGTGAGACAATGGGCAACGCCACTGCCATCTGCTCCGACAAGACTGGCACCCTCACCACCAACCGCATGACTGTGGTTCAGACTTACTTAGGTGAGCAAAAAGCAAAAATTCATAAGTAGTACTAATAAAAGTTTATGTCGCATGTAGCAAGGTACCTCTTGACTGTAGACTCTGACAATGATACAGCTACCTCCTCAAAAGTGTTCTTGACTTGTGTGGAGGTTGTGAAGGGAGTTTTCTTAAAACCAAGCAAATTATCCTACGATCGTCCAATTTAGCTGTCTTATATGGCCTTCTAGGCTTGCTGGCCTTTCTGAGCTCATCAGCGCATTCCCTCCTTTTGAGAATGTACCTTAATTGTTGATTAGGCCATTCCTAAAGTTCCTGCTATGTCTATTGTTTTGTTTTTTAAGCGTCATGATGGCTTCTTTCATTTGCATTGACACCTCTTTGGACTACATACTGACAGTTCCAATGTACAGCTGCCAAATGCAAATTTAACACTTGGAATCAACTCTCTAGACCTTTTATCTGCATAAAATTAAAATTAAATTAATTTCCAAATACTTATGAACCTGACTATACATCAGACCCAAACATTTCCCTATGCAGTCTTTCTTGCCTCCATGGCGCTCTCTCTCTTGACTGCTGCAGGGCTTAGCCACACACACAAGGTGTAGAGCAGAGAGGACACAAGAGAATACACAGTGATCTTGTGTACATTTGGGCTGCATTTCTTGCAGGGTTGTGAGGAAGTATGGCCTAGCCTATCAGAAAACAATGTTTCCATCCATCCATTATCTATACTGCTTATTCCTGAATAGGGTCATGGGATGTGGGTCCACCCTGGACAGGTCGCCAGTCTATCACAGGGCTGACATGTAGACAAACAACCACACACACAGGCAGTTTAGAGTCACCAATCAACCTAAGCTGCATGTCTTTAGACTGTGGGAGGAAGCCGGAGTCCCCAGAGAGAACCCACACAGGCACAGGGAGAACATACATGTACCACTCCACACAGAAAGGCCCCCGGGGCGGCCCAGGCTCGAACTCGGATCCTTCTTGCTGTGAGGCAACAGTGTTAACCGCCACAGCACTTTGCCACCTGAAAACAATGTTTTATTTTCCTAATTCACTGTTTAGTTCTTGCTAATGCTGCTCGCTTTCTCTATTTTACTCTACCACACTCGGCCACCATTGCTCACTGTGACTGTTAGTGGAGTGAATTTAGGACAAGCAGTGAAATTAGTGGGGTGGGAGGGCCTCAGCTTTTTGTTTTTTACATACAAGTGGGGGGGCTTCAAGGATAAAGTTTGGCAACCACTGGAACAGAGCAATGGGAAGTTGGTTGTTTTATCTTTATAAGTAGTTTCATTGTTGTTGCTGTTATTAGTGAGAGCAGCGGCTGTTAGAGACAGTCATTCTCCATCTGCACAGAATAAAATTCAGCCATCTGCTGCTTTTTAGCACTTTTTTTCTGTGTATCATATCCATATTTCATGTTTTCTGTTGTAAATTCAGAAAAGTACCATTGCTATTTAGAATCACATTTTGACAAATTTGAGAGACTTTGATCAATGTTTAGTGAAGAAGAGGCTGATATACCCTCACTTTTCGTCCCTAATAGGAGTCAAGCTTGAAATATGCTGGATCCTAAGCATCCCATAATGCACCTCAATACAGTTATATAGTAATAGCATCAGTGCTGTTTGTACTAGTAACTACCAAACCTAAGATACCATCAAGGTTATTTTCTCAAACTTGACAAAACTCTTCCAAAACCAAAGAAAACATTACACAGCTATTGAAAACAGTGAAAAATCAGTAGAATACCCCTTTAAAATGCTTTCAAATTGTACTTGATAGCAAAAAATGCATTTTTTCTTTTATAATTATCAGGTCAACAGTTGGGATAATAAATGTGCAGAAATATCTTCATATATACTGGTCTCTTTATATTATTTTTACAGAGGAGGTAGAAGCAGCATATGGAGACAGGCTGAAAGTACAGAGATTATCACTGATGTGTATTAAAGTTAGATTGTTGTTGTGCAGGTGACGTGCATTACCGTGTGATCCCGGACCCCGCACAGATCAACCACAGGACACTGGACCTATTAGTCAATGCTATCGCAATCAACAGCGCCTATACCTCCAAGATCTTAGTGAGTCATGCACAGTTGGAGATGGCATTATTTTGCAGAAAGTTATTCTCTGGCTGGGGTCTGTTTCTTGTCAGTGTTTGTGGGGTGGGGGTTAGGGGATTCTGAGAATAACCTCACATTTTCCTGTGCCTTTGTTTTAATGTCATCCTTTTTTTGTCTCCTCTTGCCTCATCCATCTCTGTGATCCTCCCACCACCTTCTCTAATCTGATACCTCATCTTGCTTCAATTGTGCTCTTTATCAGCCGCCTGATGTGGAGGGGGGTCTGGCAAAGCAGGTGGGCAACAAGACAGAGTGTGGACTGCTGGGATTTGTATTAAACTTACAACAGGACTATGCCCCTGTCAGAGAGCAGATCCCTGAGGAGAGACTGTACAAGGTACGGAGCCATGCACCAATTCCACCTTCACCAGTATAATTTATTTATAGCATTATTAATAACTGCAACCTTAACAAAGGGCCTTATCACAGTTTATTTGAATTGATATTTTCCCCATGAACATTTATTTATATACATACTGGTGTGGATAAAAGTGTTTGTGTCCTTCCACTTTAAAAAGAGAATCCACAATTTTCTCTGAAAGAAGCTTAAACTGACAAAGATAATTGCATTCACTGTTCTCTGTTGCATATTTAATAAAACAGAAACTCTTTTGATTTGATCAGTATAACATATCATTATAATCACCCAATAGATAAAAAGAGATTGGCATGGGAAAAAATAATGGAACTCTTAACCTAATGTTTTGTAGCGCATCTTTTTGAGGCAGTCACTGTATTCAAGCACTTTTGTAGCTCTTAATGAGACTTCTACACCTTCAGCTGGCAGTGTGCCCTGCTCTTCTTGAGCAAACAAAAGACAATAGTAGAACTGTGCAGCAAAACTCTGCATATTTTGGCAATTTGCTTTACTGTACAGGCACATTTGATATCTCAGTTTGAAGCTCAGATGGTGGCTTGGCACACTCACAGTACAATGAAGTGGGTCACAGTACACAATTCAGGGTGTTGCACTTTTCATGATGTAGCGGGTTTAACGCTGTGGTGTGTTGTGTAGTGGACAAAGACAACGCTTGCTGAGATATTGTTCAGCATTTTATTGTGAGACAGCACAGATGGCACCAGGATAACACTGCTGCAGTAATAAGAGGATAAGAAGCACTAATGTTACAACAAAACCATGATGGAGGCTCCGTTCCTACATACAGATAGAAGTCCTTTCATCTGGTAGAAGTTGTAATATTTCATTATATAAGTGTAAAGTCTGCCCTGCTGGTGATGCTACAGGAAAGGTCACAGATCACTTAAGTCATTAGAAATCTGCTGTGAAGCTGATGAAATATTTCAGTCTGAGCAAAAGTGGTGGAATGACTGACCATCAGACCGCCGTTACCCTCCATAGAGCCATGCTGCTACCCTGGCTAAAAGTGCATCATTTCAGAAAAACAGCCATGCCTAATCCCACAAGCCTGCAGGTGTAGAGAAAGAAGTCATTCACAGGGTCTCTCTTGAATAAATGCTCTCTGTGCCTGTAATACTGTGGACTGTGTGATTCTCATGGCTTTAGAATAATTCTACATCCTGCTAGCATGACCATTATTTATTATACTGATGCAGGTGTAAATCCTCAGCTACAACATCCACCACACTCAGGGCTGTGGTTTTATCAGCGATATCAGCGTTTGTCTACTTCTGATTTTACTATTCTGAATTGTATATCTCTCTCCCTCACTCGCCCAGGTGTACACATTCAACTCAGTGCGTAAATCCATGAGCACGGTGATCAAGCTGCCTGACGGCTCCTTCCGCCTCTACAGTAAAGGAGCTTCTGAGATCATGCTGAAGAAGTGAGTGATGGGGAGGATGAGGGAGGTGGACAGAGGAGTCTGATGACATTTAATCATGTGAATAAATAGAGAGACATTTTTTTTCTGTGCAGCTATTTTTTGTCCTTTATCTCTCTGCAGGTGTTCCTATATCATGGATGCCAACGGAGAACCGCGCAGTTTCCACCCACGTGACAGAGATGAGATGGTCAAACAGGTGGGATGGGATGACTTAAAGCTCCTGTGTGCAGAATAGCATCTCATATTAATTTTAATGGGTTGTTCTGTTGGTTTAAGGGTTGGAATAGACTGGAAACAGAGGGAAACAGCTATGTAAGAGAAATGAAGAGACAACAAAGTGTGTTATTTTGTGGGTTAAACAAATGAGACATTTTAATGAAAGAGCTTTCAACCTGCAATAACTGTTTTTTTTTTACCACAAGTTGTGAACATGAGGAAACCGGACGAGCAAATTTTTGTATATCATCGATCTTCTTTAGATTGTTATAGTGAATTTGTTAACAAACATTTGCTTATTTACACATTCAGCAGTAACGGTGCAACACTATCATTCCTTTGGAGCTGTGTTTGTGTCCACCTGGTGAATGGAAGACAAATATCCACTCTCTTTTAGCTCTGTTTTTGTCTCTACCAACTCCAGAGGGAAGTGTCTGGCTCTTCAGCTGCTAAACGCCCCTCTGTGTTCACCAGCTGGTCTCTACCTGTGTCTGTCTGCTGTTTGGCTGTGAACACGTAGAATACAGTGGGTTTTAGAGCTTTTTCTCTGAATGTGCTGCTTGATACTGACAGAAACAATGTTATGAGAGCAGTGACAGTGAATAGCTTTGCAAACCTGAGGGCAGCTGCAGATTCAGTTGAAAAGTTTTTATAGGCAACCCCTTTCCCATAGTTTTAGCTAACTTCCTGCTGGCTCTAGCTGGCAACACAGTATTTGGCATCTGAGAGTGGTAGGCTACCAATCTTCTTATTAAGAAAGCAAATGAGCATATTTCACAAAATGTTCTTTGCAGCTGTTATTTGGATAGCGCTGCTCTAATGGTTGTAGAACTTGAAATCATCGCATTTGGCTTTGTCTCTGTGCGGCTGTCTATTTAGTGTCTGGGCTGTTACCCAAAACCCAGTTAGTGCCTCATGTCTCCTGTAATAATCATTCATTAACACTTATGTGTTGATGATTAAAATACCTGAGGTAAGCCATGTGTGCTTCAAAGAGAAAAGCTGTAACACCAGATGCTGTAAATGAAGTTATTACATCCTGACACTGTTGTGATAATCACCCAGGGTGCTGTCACAAAGACAGCTAAACTCTGCTGAATTAGCTGTATTCTGAAAGACCATGTAAGACAACTGCTTCGCTGACTGAGTCTACTTATACTGTACTTTAAATATCCACCAGCAAAATGTTTTTCACACATTACAGATAAGCAGCCACAGTTTCAGTCACGCCAAACACCATGTGAACGAAAACTATGGCGCCAGCATTGGCAGATTTATATATGCTCCTAATCTGCTATACATAAAACTGCTTTGTAGGATCAGTCTAAAAGTATTTAACATTAAAACATATATGCATTTGTTGCACATACAGTAGATTAGTCTGGGCAAGCTGAGTGAGCAGAGTTTAATTGACTGACAGGCTGAATGACCTAAATTTGGCTCATGATGAACTAGAAAAATAACTTACACCCTTACACAACATTATTCCAGCTCAGTTGTTCAGTTTGCACTGTGGCAGCTTTGTGTCACCTCTTCTTTACATCATGCTGTCTTCTCTCTGCTGTCTGCGGTAGGCTGGAGGTCTTTTCC